GTAAGTTTGGAAAAAAGATTTCATGTTTCTCTCTCATTCTTGCTTTAGTTAGCCCGAGGCAATATGTCATAGTAGATAGAGAGCTCACTTCAGACCCAGGAGAATCTGATTTTAAGTCTTGCCTTTGACACAGATGAGTTGTACCACCATGGGCACGTCACCTTTCAGTGCTCTGGGCACCTTTCTAAGACTTGTCAAAGAAAAATTAATGCTGTATTCTGTATTGTAGGTACAAGTCTACCAGAAATCATCTTAATTAATTTATCATTATTCTAATTCCAACACTGTTCTGCTTAAAGACATGTACAAACTGGCGTGCCCTTGGACCTCTCTCTCACACGAGTCATTTTCAAGTCCCAATTTGTAGGACTACTGAACAAGGAATATTTCACAGTAAAGACTGAGCCAGGGCTTAGAGTTTAGGAAATAGTTCAGTTAAAAGTTTGCTTCATTAAACAGAAGAATAGTCACTTCACTTTCAGCCCACTCTTGCAAAGTCGTTTTCCTGAAATCATTCCGTCCTTTTCTGGTCACTCACTTTAAGGATTCTCCTTTCCAGCTGGCTAATATGGCCCTACCTTCCATTAAATGAAGTAGCAAAGAGACTTCTTCCTTCTTTTAGGTGTATCATTACCCTTCAAGGCATGGAAAAAGTAGATCAAAAACAGGCTGTTTGTCCTTTGAGGCACCTACGTGGTGCAACATGTAGGAGCACTAGGTATAGGATCAGGAAGACCTGAGTTCAAATCCGGCCTCAGCAATGTAATAGCAGTATGGCTCTGAGTAGCACTAAACTTCTGCCTCAGTTTCCTCAGCTGTAAAATGGAGATAATTACAGCACCCACTTCCCAGGGTTATTGTAAAGATAAAATGAGATAATAATTGCAAAGCACCTGGCACATAGTAGGAGCTTAATAAATGTTTGTTCCTTTCTTTTGCCCTTGCCTAATCACCACCCTAATTATTTCAAGAGAGAAGGTGGAACAAGCCTTTGTTTTAAACATTGATAAGGTTTCTCTCTCTGATTACTCCAGAGGCTTCATATTAGGATATTTTAAAATTTTATATAAAAAAAAATTAAGGGGCAGCTAGGTGGCGCAGTGGATAGAGCTCCAGCCTTGGGGTCAGGAGGGCCTGAGTTCAAATCCGATCTCAGACACTTGACACTTACTAGCTGTGTGACCTTGGGCAAGTCACTTAACCTCGATTCCCTCACCCCCCCCAAAAAAATTAACAGGCACTTACTTTCTCTTCCTCCCATCTCCCCCAACCCAATGGGAAAAGAAAAGAAAAATGAAACCCTTGTAGCAAATATGCACATTCAAGCAAACAAACCCCCTCATTAACCATGTATGTATGTCTCATTCTGCATTTTAAGACTAGGATCATTTTTAAATGCTTTCTTAATGTTTCTAGAAGGGGAAGGAGGAGCTTTATAATTTGTAGAGAAGGTGATAACCTGTGTTGGAAGAGGAAGTTCCTTCCTGGGAGCCACCTTCACAGGCCGGCCCTTTTCTCTTTCTCAGTCTATGGGTAAAGACACTTTGCTAGGGTTTTATGATTCTGAGTTTGTCTCTTCCAGCTCTGACATTCTTTATTCTCAGCATCTAATACCCTTTCAGCTCTGATTTCCTATGGCTTTGAGGGTTTGTGCTGAGGAATGTAAAAAACACTGCTTCTGAAAGCTTGTGCCAGATTATTGTTGTCCAGTCATTTCAGTCGTGTCCGACTCTTCATGACCCCACCTGGGGTTTTCTGGCAGAGATACTGGAGTGGTTTGCCATTTCCTTCTCCAGCTCATTTTACCGATGAGGAAACTGAGGCAAACAGGGTTAAGTGACTTGCCCAGGGTCCCACAGCTAATTAGTGTCTGAGGTTGGATTTGAAAGCAGGTCCTCCTGACTCCAGGGCCAACATTTTATCCACTGCACCATCTAGCTGCTCTTCTACCAGATATGTACACGGTGGCAGAAGTAGTACCTACGAGCTTAAATGGCAGATTCAGTGGGGTTGGGGTGGGGAAACAGCCTCTAGGTTCCAAATTAGATGCATGTCTCTCTTTCTCTGCTTAAAAACTGCAATTCAAATTTGACCTGAAATCTCTGTACCTGATGTTCTTCCTTTTTTTTAATTAAAAAAAAGTTTTCTGATTAGTTTTATTCTTACATTACAAACATTTGTAGATTATTCTTATTTTGTGAGAGGTTTCTTATAATAAAGTAAAATAGTTAAGGGATACTGATAATGCAATGCATGCATCAAAAAAGGGCAGGAAATAGGAAGAGGGGTACCTGGAGGGGCATGGTGGCTAAAAGGATTTATTCTGTGAAGTTCAGATTCAGTCAAAGGGCTGCACTTGAGGACCTAGAGGGGCACATGTGGCCTCAAGGCTGCACGTTCCCCACTGCTATTCTAGGCTATGCCTTAATTGTCGTCACTCAGCAACCTCCCTTTTGGGGTGGGAGGAGGCAGAAGTTCTTTCTAACCATTGGCAGCTTGGTTGGATGGAGCATTGAGCTTGGCCTCAGTTAAGCCTGAGTTCACATCCTTTGGTGCTTATTAGGTATATGTCCCTGGGCAAGACACTTCACTTTTCTCAGCCTCAGTTTCCCTACCTGTAAAATGAGGTTTGACTGAATTGCTTCTAAGCTCCCTCCTAGCTCTAAATCTATGACCCTGTGATTCCCCGTTCCAACATGATCGTGCGACCTTCAAGTCATCCACCTTCCTTTCTCAAAGAGTTTCGTTTGTCCTTTGTTTGTCCTTCATTCTCGAAGAGGACCAATGGCATCATGAGGGTGTCTTGACTTGCCACCGGATCAGATTTAAGTGAGGCAGAGCTGCACAAAACCGTCGGCCTCTCTCTGTCTTCCAGTCATCTGAGTCCAGTGGTAAGACATAGGTCAAGATGACTGGTTCTGTTCCCCCAGTCTATAACACTTGTTCTGATTTCCCTTTCCTGCCTCCAGTGGTCTGGATCATAAATTCAATTATACACACTCAGCTCCTCTTTAATCTCTTGACCCCTGGCCCTATCTCTAGTCACATGATGCCAGACTCCAACCTGGCTTGTTCCCACCTTCTACTTTTTCCATTTTTATTAACATGCTACTGAATGTGCCAGGAGAAAGTCGTAGTGCTATGTAACTGGGTTCCCTCCGAATGTGTGCCGTCTAATCTCTGTCTGTCCATCTCGGCTACATGGTATTCTTGTTATTCTTCTGTTGACTGATTTTCAGTCACACTCACCTGAACAGCTTTTCCAAATCTTTCTCCTCGTACTCACTATACCACCTCTTCTTCCTCATAGTGGAAAGAACACTGGCTCTTCAGACAGAGGACAAGGGTTCAAATCCCACCAGTGATCCTCACAATCTGTGTGAGTTTAGTCATCATTTCCTCATCTGTAAAACCTGTTAACCTCTTTGAACCTCACTTTCCTCTTCTGCAAAAGATGTCAACCTCCCTGTACCTCACTTTCCTCATCTGTAAAATGGGTAGATTAGACTAAATGGTCAGTCTTGAGATTTTTCCAGTTTCATATCTCTGCTCCTATGATTCTCCTTGGCAGAGGACCTTACCCCTCTATTTTATGAAGAGAGGCCATGGAGCACTAACATCCTTCCACCCATCACACTTCAAAGCCCCTCTTCGTTATCCCTCATTCTTTCAGGGGTGGGGAACCTGTAGCCTTAAGGTCACATGTGGCCCTTTAGGTCCTCACCTGCAGCCCTTTGACTGAATCCAAGGGCCACACTTGAGGCTCTAGAGGGCCACATGTGTCCTCGAGGCCACAGGCCACAGGTTTCCCATTACTAGAGTCTAGTCTTTTATGAAGAAGTGAAGCAAACCACACCTTCCTGAGCCTCAGTTTCCCTCAGTCAAAATGGTGTTGGGTTAGATGATCTCTGAGGTCTTTTATAACACTAATAATCCATGTATCTAAGATTTTATGATCCAGAATCCTTTAGAAAAACCATGGAGCTTTTCTTTGGAATTTCCTCAGCCTCCTTTTTCTTTCCTCAAAAGTTTTTCTCTTTTGGGGCAGCTAGGTGATGCAGTGGATAGAACACTGGCCCTTGGACTCAGGAGGACCTGAGTTCAAATCTGACCTCAGACACAAAAAACACTTACTAGCTGTGTGACCCTGGGTAAGTCACTTAACCCCATTGCCTAGACCAAATCCTCCCCCCCCAAAAAAAAAGCTTTCCCTTTTCTCTATCTGTTGCCCCACACCCTCTGGAGAAGTATCATAGTATAATGAAGAGAAACCTAGAACTGGAAGTAGAGGACCCAGGTCTGAATTCCAGCACTATTATTTATTATCTATGTAATGACAGGCAGCTAGGTGGCACAGTGGATAGAGAACTGGGCCTAGAGTCAAGGAGACTCCTCTTCCTGAGTTTAAATCTGGCATCAGACACTTACTAGCTGTGTGACCCTAGTCAAGTCACTTACCCCTGTTTGCCTCAGTTTCCTCATCTGTAAAATGAGCTGGAGTAGGAAATGGCAAACCACTCCAGCACCTCTGCCAAGAAAACCCCAAATGGGGTCATGAAGAGTTGGAGATGACTGAAAACAGTTCAACAATGACAACAACAAAAGATGGGCAAATCACTCTCTGGGCCCCAGTTTCTTCACATATAAAGTGAGGGTGTTCCCTTGCAGTTCAACTATTATCTAACAATATCTCAAAGCATCCCCGCTCCAGCCTCAGGATATTTTACATTCTAATAAGGTCTAGAATTTTCACCAAAAGGAAGAGTGCTTATGGTACAATTTCAGGCCCTTGCTAGCAACCTTGGGAGGATTTGGGTGGAGAACATTTCTTGGCTCTGGGAAATCTCACTGAAGATGCCAGGGATGGCCTGGTTCACACATATGAGGAGATCAGTCTTGCCCCTGGCCTCCAATTTTCCTGCACTCAGCCCGGAAGTTAATTAGTAACAGCCCAATCAGATCCCCACACTTTGGAATAGCAAATATTTGTTGAAAGTTTTCAGCCTCAAACCTTAACCTTTTAACTTTATTTTGAATGGAAGACCATCAGCAGGGTGACAGTGGAACCACTGGGTTGGTAAGATCTTGCTGTTTCAAGAGAGAATTTTTAAATGTTTATACTGGGGGGGGGGTGAGGGGTGAGAAAAGTCCCTGTCGCATGTGGCTGGGGATAGCTATGGGAGATGCTCTCTGAGCTCTTCTGGGAATCTGATTTTTTTTTTTTTGAGCAAAGATCTCCTTTTGGTCAGCTAGGGACTCTTCCAAACAGAGCTCCCAACCTCCAGATTTTTCATAATTAGAGAATTTAAACAAGAGTAGAGTCTTAGAGAAGAAGAAGGGTCCTTTAAGCAAACATAAGCCTTCTGGAAGAGCATGGGTGGTGAGTGAGCGCAGGGGAAAGAAGGGGACCTTTAAGCCTTTGCCAGGACACCATCCACCAACCCAAAGAGTATATAGCATCTCAATTTTGGTGGCTTTAGAGGAAAGGGTCTGGCTGGATCTGTGACTTCATTAGTACAGGGAACTCTCAGTGTGGAAAAATCTCTCCCTGGTGTAGATTCACAACTCCTCTACTCCTAAAGCCTCAGTAACTCAGCAAATTACTCATGGTCACAGAACTAGTGTGTGTCAGAGGCAACACTGGAGCTCAAGTCTTCCTGACTCGAAAGCTAACTCTGTTGATTATGCCATGTTGCCTTTCTGTTGGTCTATTTACTAGCCTTAAATCTGAAGTATACCTGAAAAAGAGAGAGAGAGACAGAGACTGAGGGAGAAAGAGAGAGAGAATGGAGGGAGAGAGGTGGAGGGAGAAAGGAAGGGCGAGAGGGAAGGAGGAAAGGAAGGAGAGAGAGAGAGGGAGAGAGGGAGAGAGGGAGGCGAGAGAGAGAGAGAGAGAGAGAAAGGAAGAGAGGGAGAGAGAAAGAGAGGGAGGAAAGGAAGTGGAGGGAGGGAGAGAGGGAAAGACAGAGAGAGAGACGGAGAGAGAGAAAAGAGAGAGAGAGAGAGAGGGAAAGAGGGGGAGGGAGGGAAGAAGGAAGGGAGGGAGAGTGTTTCAAGAATGAAGACACCTCAAACGCAATAAGGTAAATTCACCTAGAGTTTTAAACTAGGCATTAGAGTGTAAAGAGTAATCCTTTCTGACCCACAGGTGTTACTTAATAACTTTTTTCTTCTTCCTTCTTTTCTCTCTTCTTTCTTTCTCTCTTCCTTCTTTTCTTCTTTCCTCTCTACCCTCCTCCCTTCCTCCCTCTCTCCCTCCCTCCCTCCCTCCCTCCCTTCCTTCCTTCCTTCCTTCCTTCCTTCCTTCCTTCCTTCCTTCCTTCCTTCCTTCCTTCCTTCCTTCCTTCCTTCCTTCCTTCCTTCCTTTCTCCTATGATTTCATTAGACTGTGTGAACTCCTCCATTAGACTGTGAGATCCTGGAGAGCCGGGAATTATTTTTGCCTTTCTCTGATTCCCTAATACCTAGCACAGTGGCAGGCACCTCTCACTCCCAGTGAGAAAACTCCTTCTGCTAATGTAGATTGGCCACTTCTCTGCAGCTTATGGTCTTAGAGAATTTCTTGGGACCACTAGGGTGTTAAGTGGCTTACCTATGTTCACATAGTCAGTATATGTCTGAATCAGGACTTGAACCCAGGTCTTTTGACTCCAAGGCTGCCTCTCTATTCACTGTGCCAAGTTGCCTGTTAAGTTACTTCTTCCAAATGGCAATAAAGAAGAGTGGTCATGAATTTTGTGGACTCATTTAGAATGCTAAAGAAGTTATTTGTTGAATAATAATTTGCATTAACCTGATCCTCCCCACAACCTTTTGAAGTTAATATGTCAGGTATTATCATCTCTATCTTATAGTTAAGTAATGGAGTATTATGCAAAGGAGTAACTTACTAAATTTTGAAAGACAGCCTGACCTAGTGAATAGAGGGCTGGTCCTAGAATCAGGAGGACCTGGGTTCAAATTCTGCCTCTGGTACAATGGCGAGGACCAGATTTGGATAAGAGGATCTCAGGTTCAGACTTGGCTCTATCATTTACTAGGTGACTTGTCTGTGGCTGTTTTCTCCTCTGTATAATAGAGGGTTAGACTAAATGATCTACGAGGTCCTTTTCTAGCTCTAGCATCATCTATGATGTTATGATATTTCACCCCTCAGTGCCCCCAGGCAACCCTCCTAAGACTTTAAGTTATAGATGAGTTACTAGTTTGCTCACTTGGAAAGAAGTTTCCGCATTAAATATTTCCTACACTGATGACATCATAGGTCTAGATCCTGCTCCCTACCCACACTTACTCAGTACTGCACATCTTTCTTTCTTTCTTTCTTTCTTTCTTTCTTTCTTTCTTTCTTTCTTTCTTTCTTTCTTTCTTTCTTTCTTTCTTTCTTTCTTTCTTTCTTTCTTTCTTTCTCTCTTTCTCTTTCTTTCTTTCTCTCTTTCTCTCTCTCTCTCTCTCTCTCTCTCTCTCTCTCTCTCTCCTTTCTTTCTTTCCTTTTCTTAGGCAATTGGCGTTAAATGACTTGCCCAGGGTCACACAGCTAGTAAGCATCTGAGGTCACATTTGAACTCAGATCCTCCTGACTTCGAGGCCAGTGCTCTGTTCGTTGCGCTATTTAGCTTCCCTTTGCACATTTCTTAAAGCAATAACTTACTAAATGCTGTGCATATTGGAGTACTATTTGGTTCTCTAAAGGAATAACTTTATAAATCCTGGCATATGAGAAAATTGGACCCCTGAGCTCAACCGACGTTGCAGCGAGGTTGAGCCATAGCAGGTGTTTCTGCCCCACCCTAGCCCCAAAATCTTCGAGGTGAGTCCACATACCATAGGTATAGGAATCAAACTGCATTTGTATGTGACCTGAGGGAAATCCATATCCTTCTCTCTCAAACAGGCTGCTTCAGGACCTGGAATGCCCAGGTTCTCTCCATTTCTTGTAAAGCAAAGTTGTTGTTGTTCAGTTGTTTTTAAGTCATGTTTAACCCTTCGTGACCTCATCTGGGGTTTTCTTGGCATAGATACTCGAGTGGTTTGCCATCTCCTTCTCCAGCTCATTTTGCAGATAAGGAAACTGAGGTCAACAGGGTTAAATGACTTGCCCAGGGTCACACAGCTAGTATCTGTAAAGCAAAACATCCCTGTTAAAATACAAATATTACCTGGAATGATGAGCCCTTACATCCGTATAAGATGTTGCAGTTTGCAAATAATAATTGTACTTTAGGACTTTAAAAGAACTTTAGATTCAGAATTTCACTAGAGGTAGGCACTATGAACACCTTATTTTACAGATGAGGAAATAGACTGAGACAGAGAGAATAAACCACTAATAGTGGTCACACTATTGGTAACAAGCCAATCTTGGACTTGAACCCAGGTCTCCTGAGTCTCATCCAGTGCTTTTTTCACTAAACTATATTTGCTTCCCCCCTGTCAGGGAGAGCTACCACATTGAGCCACTTTTTATTGTTGTCATTCAGTCATTCATTCTGTCTGACTCCTTGTGACCTCATGGACCATAGCGTGCCAGGTCCCTTCTACCCTCCACTATCTCTCGAAGTCTGTCCTAGTGCACATTCATTGTTTCCATGACACTGTCTATGCGTCTCATCCTCTGCCGTCCCCTTTTCCTTTTGCCTTCAATCTTTCCCAACATCAGGGTCTTTTCCAATAAGTCCCACCTTCTCATTATGTGGCCAAAGTCTTTAAGCTTCACCTTTGGTATTTGACCCTTCAGTGAATAGCCTGTATTAATTTCTTTAAGTATTGACTGATTTAATGTCCTTGGTGTTCAAGGGACTCTCAAAAATCTTCTGGAGCACCACGTTTCAAAAATGTCGATTCTGTGGTGTTCAACTTCCGTTACAATCCAACTCTTACAGCTATATATCGCTACTGGAAAAAGCTACAGCTTTGACTATATGGAGCTTTGTTGTCAGGGTAATGTTTCTGGTTTTTAGTATGCTGTTGAGATTTGCCATAGCTTTCTTTCAGGGCTGCAGTCACCATCTGCAGTGATCTTTGAGCCCAAGAGTATAAAATCTGACATTGCTTCCATTTCTTCTCCCTCTGTTTGCCAGGAAGTGATGGGACCACTTGCCACGATCTTAGGCTTTTCATTACTAAGCTTTGAGCTTGAGCTACTATCATCCATTAAAATCTTAGGTCTGAGAAGTTTATCAGATGGGCCATTCACCTATCCAGGATCCAGAGGGGAAAAGGTCTATGCTTTGAGATGAAGGAGACATCTTGAATATGGACAAGCTCTGGCTACTGCTATGGGGAGGGCCAGGCTAGACAGAAGACAGCCTGGGGGACCTTGACCTGAGGAAGGGAGTCACTAAAAAGAGGGAAGAAAGAGCCTAAAGGGGACTGGAAGGTAAAATTCTGATGCCCTCATAATTTGACTTCAGGTTCTGCTGGACGTATGTAGATATAGTGAAGGCCACCGTTGAAAGGAAAATCCTTTTTTGGGGCTTTTACCCTGATCAATGAGGCAAAACTGAGGACTACAAGAATTAAAAGGAGTTTATTACAAGTACTTCAGAGCAGCAACATGTTGATGGGCTGCTCAATGCAGATCAGCAGATGGCTTCAAGATGGGTGGCTTTTACTGGTAACTTTCATAATGAGATAAAGACAATTCAGATAGGCCCACATCAGTAAAAGGGGCTGGGCACTTGTATCCAGTTCTTCCCTGAAGTAGCAAGTACAGGATGATTTGTAGGTAGGGGTACAAACATCACAGGACGGGTATGTGACAAAGAGCAGTGAATACAAAAAGCTGCAGACTTAATGTCACCTTCCCACAGTGGAACCTTCCCCAACACTGACTGATAAACAGGGCTGGGAACATTGGCTCACTGAGTCAACATACATTTCAGTAACCACAACCTGTCAGTTGTCCTTTTTGCTGTTGAGTAGTTTCAGTTGTATCCAACTCTTTGCGACCCCATTTGGTGTTTTCTTGGCAAAGATGCTGGAGTGGTTTGCCATTTCTTTCTCCAGCTCATTTGACAGATGAGGAAACTGAGGCAAATAGGATTAAGCGACTTACCCAGTGACACACAGCTAGTAAGTGTCTGAGGTCAGATTATAACTCAGGAAGAGGAGTACTTCTGATTCCATGCCCACCATGCCATCTTGTTGCCCTGTCACTCATCTTTACTCTCACAAATCTGTGGTAGATTTTGCAGCTAGAAATTACAAATAGTCTTGGGTTTGGCTGGGGCATAGAAAGTAATTATATAGATCTCTGCCATGTTTTCTCAGGGTTGGGAGTGGGATACAGGGGATGAGATTGGGAGGCCTATACGAGAGTACAAAGAGGGTGTTAAAGCCTATATCTGCTGACCTTTTCAACAGAGGTGGCAGTAAAGTTGTGAACTCTCTGGACACAGCAACCTAACTCTCTGATTCATGACTTTAGAAAGGGGAGGGATTGTAGAACATAGAATGTTGAGGTAAGAACTGGAAAGAAACTTAGCTTATTAGAAAAGGCAATGAAGCTAACAAGTGTCGAAATCAAAATCAGGAAGATTTGGGTGAGTTTGAATCCTGCCTCTCATACTTGCTAGAGGTATGACTACTGGCAAGCCGTTTGATATTGCTAAGCTTCAGTTTTCCCATCTATAAAATGGGGATATTTATGCCTAACACCTACCTCACAGGGTTGTCAGGCTCAAATTAGATGTTATATGTTTTGCAAACCTTAAAAGGCCCTATATTTATAGCACTCTCTATTGCCTATGCCCATCACCTAAGCCAGTTATTATTAGAACATTTAGAAGGGCTGCAGAGATTATCTAGTCCAATTCTTTCATGTAAAGATGGAGAAATTGACTTTGAGAAAGAAATAAGCTGAAACCCAGAAGGCAAATTCATGTTAGAACCAGTCTCCTGACTCCCATTTCAATGTATTCTCCCCAGATCCTCCTGTATTGATCTGCTGGGATTACAAAAGAGTGGATGGAGTTATAATACACACCCCTCCCTCTCCAACATCTATTTGGTCATGGTGTTTATAACTCAATATGGCAAAGTTTTTCTTTCTAGTGGAAGGGGGATGTGGGATATTGTAAACCAAGGGATGGCAAGATTTCTAGGCTTCAGAAACATAGATTTAGGATGCTTATGAAATAGGATGCTGTTTGACTAGGTTTTCTGGTTGACTGAGAGTTGATGCGAATCTTTCTAAAATATTTGAGCCGTTTTTTCTTTTAGTCAAATGTAGTCCAGTTAATGGAGTTGACAGGCAGCTAAGAGGCACAGTGGATAAAGCACTGGGCTTGAAGTCAGGGAGACCTGAGTTTAAATCCCAGCCTCAGACATATACTAGCTGTGTGACCCTGTGTGAGTCACTTAACCCTGTTTGCTTCAGTTTCCTCATTGGTCAAATGAGCTGAAGGAAATGGCAAATCTTTCCTTCCCCCAACTGGGGTCATGAAGACATGACTGAGCAACAATGGAGTTGAATATAATTGAATCTTTCTTGAATGACTGGGCCTTGGTGCCATCATTATAAAGATTCTCTCTGTATTGTAGTTGGTGTAGATGAAACAAGACTTAGTCCCCAACATATTCTGGGAAACCTTGTATGTGTTTGTAAAGTTGAGTTACAGCTCCAAACTTGTTCGGTTGTGATGTTCATACTTCAATACCTCAAGCATCCATAATGTCCTTGATATAAGTACTCCCTCCACTGACGCAGATTGCCAGCCCTCTCCAATCTGGCAGAGTTACTAAAAGTTACTGTGGCTAAACCATTTACCATGTCACAATTTAGTTAGGTTGCTGTTCAGACAACAAACGTGTGGTTTGTCATTAGGGTCATATTCAAAGCTGTCCAATCTTGTTCTCTGTTGGCATAATCTTCAAGAACCTAAAGTCACACCCCCTGCTATGAGTAGGATTTTACTTTTTAAGGAAAATTGAAAATGTTTTATGTTTTATTTTTAATAGTATTCTACTCAATTACATGTAAAGACAAATTTTAACATTCATATTTTAGAAATTTTGAGCTCCAAATTTTCTCCCTCCCTCCTTCATCTCCCTCCCCCCTAAGACTGTAAGCAATATGATATAGGTTATGCATGTGCAATCATGTGAAATATATTCCCATATTTGTCATATTGTGAAAGAAGAAACATACTAATAGAAAAAAATAACACAAAATAATAAAGTGAAAATAGCATGCCTCAATTTGCCTTCAGACTCCATCAGTTCTTTCTCTGGAGGGGTAGCATTTTTCATCATAAGTCCTTTGGACTTGTTTTAGACCATTGTCCTGCTCGGAAGACAGCTAAGTCATCCACAGTGGATCATCCCCCAATATTGCTATTACTGTGTGCAACTTTCTCCTGGTTCTGCTCACTTCACTTTGCATCAGTTCATATAAGTCTTTCCAAGTTTTTATGAGTAGGACTTTATTTTTGTAGATTTTATTATTTTTATTAGCATTAGTAGTAACTTTGGTTAAGAGACAGAATGGTTTGGTCAGCCTAGTCAGGAGTCAGGAAGACTTGGGTTCAAGTTCTGCTATTGCTGACACATAGTGACTCAGTGTGTCCTTGGGGAACTTATTGTTGCCACAGGAAACTCTAAGACTGTAAATAACAGGGGAGTTGTTGATCTTTCTTAGTGGGAAATTTCCACACTGGGAGTTTCCCATATGAAATAATGAATCCTCTGCCCCCCCCAAAAAAAAACCAACCCACAGCACACAGCTATTATAGTTGCAAAGCACTTTCCTTAGAACACAACCCTGTGAGGTAGAATCACAGAATTTTAGAATCTCAAGGGCTCTCAGGGGCTATCTAATCCAACCCTCATTCTAAATTATGAATCCTGTCTTCAATATCACAAATCTCTGTTTAAACACTTTCAGGGATAAGGAGCTTATATTTCCCATGACACAGGGAATTCTATTGTAGGACAGCTCCAGTCATCAGGAAGCTTTTCTTTCCCCTAAGTCAGAAAGACATCCCTTTGAATTCTACCCATTGCTCCTACATCTATCCCCTAGTGGCCTAACAGAACAAGTTTCCTCCCTGTTCCTTATGACAATAACAACAACAACAATAAAAATAATAACTCACATTTACATAATTCTTTGTTTTTTTAATCGGTCTTTACTAGATGATCTCATTTGATCTTTACAACCCTGGGAGGTAAGTGCTACGGATTTATTATCACCAATTTAAAGGTAAGGAAACTAAGGCTGGAAGTTAAGTGATTTTGCTCAAGGTCACGTAATTAGAAAGTGCCCGAGGCAGAATTCAAACCTAGACCTTCCTGACTCCAATTCCACCACAGGCAATTGACCTGAGTTTAAATCCTGCCTTCGACACTTACTAGCTATGTAACCCTGGGCAAGTCACTTAATCTCTATCTGCCTCAGTTTCCTCACCTGGAAAATGGGGATAATAATAGCACCAGTATTGTGAGGATCAAATGGGATAGTATTTATAAAGTGTTTTGTAAACCTTAAAGTGCTATGTAAATGCTAGCTATTATTATTCTTACATGAAGAGATGGCCCTTCTCCTTGGCAGGGCAAATCCTTTTACATGCGCAAGGGATCCTATTCCATCTTGTCTACTCTGCCAGATTGTGTCCTCTGTTTCTCATTATCTCACTTATTTTCAATCTTTCCCTATCAACTGCCACACACCCTACTGCCTGTAAGCAAGCCCAGGTCTCTTCCTTCCTTAAAAAACCTTCATGTGAACCATTCAGCCCCACTATCTATCTCGCGATAAACTCCTAGAAAACGTCATCTCCAATCACTGTCTTCCCTTCCTTTCCCTTGCACTGCCTGGCTTCTGTGCCTCCTCAGTTAAGGCCACATACACAGTCAGCAGCAGAGTCAGGCTGAGACCCTAGGTCTCTTTCTTAGTTCTTAGTCCATTGTGCTTCTTACGACACCATGGCTGCCTCATTTTCTTCAAGGAGGTTAAAAAAAAATTTAGTTATTGGAGGTTTCTGGTAAGTTGGATTCTGGTTCATCAAAGTTTTGCTGTTTATAACGCAGCCTAGGTGGTGCAGTGGATGGAGGGCTGGACCTGGAGTCTTCCTCAGTTCAAATCTGGCCTTAGATACTTACTAGCTGTGTGACCCTGGGCAAGTCACTTAAGCCTGTTTGTCTCAGTTTCCTCATGTGTAAAACAAACTGGAGAAGGAAATGGCAAACTGCTCAAGTATCTTTTCCAAGAAAATCTCAACTCGGGTCGTGAAGAGTCAGACACGACTGAAAAATGACTTAATAACCATGAAACCAATTAAACTGTACCGGATGTTTTTACTCCACATGGGAGGGAGCCTGCTCGGTTAAATAGATGCCCTGGGTTGGGCTCAGAGGACCCAAGTTTGATTCCTGGCTCTTACTACTTACCACCTGCATAACCTTAAACAAATTGTTCTACTTCTCCTGGGCTTCAGGTTCACCCTCTGTAAGATGGAAGATTTGGGCTAGATCAGTGGTGTCAAATTGGAAATGGGGGCCATTAAACTGTACATAAGGATCTCTGATGGTCACATATTGAATTAGAAAACCACCTATTAACATCATCTAAGTTCTACTGCATTTTTATTTAGTTAAATATTTCCCAATTACATTTTTGTTTGTTTGTTTGTTTTTTAGGCAGTTGGGGTTAAGTGACTTGCCCAGGGTCACACAGCTAGTAAGTGTCAAGTGTTTGGTCTGAGGCTGTATTTGATCTCAGGTACTCCTGACTTCAGGGCTGGTGCTCTATCCACTGTGTCACCTAACTGCCCCTCCCAATTATATTTTAATCTGGTTATCAAGCACTCAGTGGTGTTGCTGCAGCATGGAGCCTACCTGCCCTGTGTTTGTCACCTCTGGGCTAAATGATCTCTAAATTCCTTTTCAGTTCCAAATCCTATGACCTTAAGTGATTTCCCCCCACAGTAGAACAAGGTTCAGCTTCCTAAACAGTAACTCACCTTAGCACAGAGATAAAGGAGTTTTGAAGTGAATGGCTTTAAAAACATTTTTTTCTCTCTTTACCTAAATTTTGCTTGCTAAGAACTACATTCACTTGGCCTCCAAAACCGACACTATGAAAATAGCCTTCTGCCTCATCCTCTTCTTCTTGGAAGTATGGATGGTATTGGGCACTGCTGCAGACTGGGAACCAGGGAAGATGGAAACCCACCCAGAGGTTTTGAAGAACCACACTTTCCTCCGTCACAACCAAACAGAAGGAGACATACAACATCCTCAGAGGAAAGATGCCACGACATCATCTGAGGAGGAGCCCTGGCCAGCGTTGGATAGGTGGAAACTCTTAGAAAAGAATGCCAACTTTGGGTTCAACCTGTTCCGAAAAATCGCCATGAAACATGATGGCAACATAGTTTTCTCTCCTTTCTGCCTTTCCTTTGCAATGACTACTTTACTGCTGGCAGCCAGAGGGCAGACCCGATCCCAGATCCTAGAGGGCCTCAACTTGCAGGATCTAAGCATTTCAGAGACAACTTTCTTGCCTTCTCTCTTCAAGGAGCTCAAAGATCAGATCTCCCAAAACCAGGAGCTGGCTTTATTGAAAGGGAGTTTTGCTTTCATCCACAAGGATTTTGATGTCAAAGAGACTTTCTTCAATTTGTCCAAGCAGTATTTTGACATGGAGTATGTACCTGTGAATTTCCACAATGCCACACAGGCCAAGAGTTTCATGAATCATTATGTGGACAAGGAGACCAAGGGGAAAATTCCCAAACTCTTCGATCAGATTAATTCTGAAGCTGAATTAATTCTTGTGGATTACATCCTATTTAGTGGTATGTACCTTGTATGACTTAATAATGATACATTCTTCCTAAGAAAAATACTTTTTTTGTCTTCTTTTCCTTCTTTTCATTTCTATTCAGTCAATTCTGAATTGTGCATCACAATGGAGGCTGCATATAGGTTTAGCAGCCATTCCTGCCTAGGCCTTACACTGAGGAAAGGGAAGGTATTGCTACATTTGCATAAATTATAGTAATGTCCCTTGGTGTTTGATGAAGTCAATTCTTGATTTTTGGGATGTCTGTCAATGAAGAGACCCTTTGCTCCAGAACCAACCTGACCATCCCTGGGGAGAGGACTAAACGAGTGAAACATGCTGACACCCATAGAGAGGCCAAAGACCAGGAACTAAAACCCTGGAATACAGGCTGACACAGATAGAATGAAATACCCACGGATTCCTTGGCCTGATGTTTTGCTAATCATTCATATTTCAGTTCAATTCTGTGAGAGTTCATTCTGTATCTACCATGTATGGGGCACTGAGATGCTAGAAAACTAATGTCTGTATTACTCTGCAGTCTACAAAGTGTTTTCCTCATCACATTTCTGTGAGGCAGGTGGTGAAAACTATTTTTTTTTGCCTTTTTTTTTTTGGTGAGGCAATCAGGGTTAAGTGACTTGCCCAGGGTCACACAGCTAGTAAGTATTAAGTGTCTGAGGTTGGATTTGAACTCAGGTCCTCCTGACTCCAAGACCAGAGCTCTATTCACTGTGCCACCTAGTTGCCCCCAAAACTTTTTTTTTTAATGAAGTAACTCAGCTTCAATTCAGTGGCATGCCTGAGGTCTCACAGATGATAAATAATAGGACGGAGACTTGGACCCATGTCTGACTCCAGAGCCAAAAGTCATGACTGTTTCCCCACTTGGTCTTACAATGTTTTGTCTCTTAAAAGATATAAAATTTTCTCAGTACTCCCCTTGTAGAGAGGCTGAAGGGCAGGGAGCAAATTGTCTCAAAAGAGAAAGAGAAGAAGCAAAGGCCCTAAATAATAACCAGCCTTCTCTAATTGGACACTGAATAATGGCTATTTGACTAAAGGAGTATTGAATTTAAGATTGTATAGCTGAAATAAGGGACAACAAGCAATAGGGAAGACAGCAACATGGGGAGCTCAAAAAAGCTCTGGTAGCCAACACTTTACCTTCTATTTTCTGGAGTTTCATAAAATAATGACAATAATTCACATTTCTCTAGCACTTTACACCTTAAACTTTCCTCATAACCACCCTGTGAGGTGGGTAGCTTAAGTATTATAATTTTCTCTTAAAAATGAGTGGATTAAAAATCTTCTCTTAAAAATGCTACTGATTGTGTATGTGGCCTTAACTGCCAAGGGACAGAAGCCAGGCAGTGCAAGGGAAAGGAAGGGAAGACAGTGATTGGAGATGACATTTTCTAGGAGTTTATCCTGAGATAGATAGTGGGGCTGGATAGCTCACGTGAGAGTTTTTTTAAGGAAGGAAGAGACCTGGGCGTACTTACAGGCAGTAGGGTGTGTCGCAGTAGATAGGGAAAGGTTGAAAATAAGTTATTTGTCTTCAGGCATACAGCTACTAGTGGCAGAGTTGGAACTTGAACCCTGGGTCTTAGTATCTCTCTAGATAACTCTTGCTAGTAGCCTTTGATAAAACCTTTAAACCTAGCCTTTTTCACCAAAGAAGAGAGCAGTGTCCTGACCTCGAAGACATTTACTTGCTTAGTTGATGGAGACAGTTAAGTAGCACAGTGGATAGAGCACTGGACCTAGAGTCAGGAGGACCTGAGTTCAAATCTGATCTCAGATACTTACTAGCTTGTGCTTCTGGGCAAGTCATTTAATCTTTCTCTGCCTCAATTTCCTCAACTGTAAAAATGGGGTTAATAGCATCTGCTAGAGTTGTTGTGAGGATCAAATGAGATAATATTTGTAGCTCAGTGCCCAGCACATAGTAGATGCTTAATAAATGCTTGTTTTCTTCCTTCCTGATAAGGGGAGATCACATCATCCTGCTATGGACATTAATCTTCTGTAGAATTAGAATATCTTCCTAATGTTGGTGGTTGAAAGAAGGATTAGCGCTCCTCACTTTTGGAGATTTCGTCATGAAAAATACTTGACTTTATCAGCAGTTTTCTCAACACCATTTTTCTTGCCTTCTTTACCTTCTTAGGTAAATGGCTGTCTGCATTTGACCCTCTTCTCACCGAAGTTGAAACCTTCCACCTGGACAAATATAGAACTACAAAGGTACCTATGATGTACAGGTCTGACAAGTTTGCTTCAACCTTTGATAGGAACTTACGTTGCCAAGTCCTTAAATTACCCTACCGAGGAAATGCAAGCATGGTAGTGGTCCTTATGGATAAAATGGGGGATCACCTTGCCATTGAAGACTATTTAACTGTAGAGCTGGTGGACAAATGGATCAGAAACATGAAAACCAGGTACTACTCATTACAATAGAATAGAAAAATAAGTATCTACTATGTGCAAAGCACTGATGTAAGCCCCCATAATGATTAAAAAAGGCAAGATTCTAATCTTCCAGTTTAGTCATACAGATGTATGATATCGATGGTGCAACCACAGTGCACCATAATGGGAGGCATGAGTTAATGAGGTGCAAAACAAAGTGGTATGTGAAGTCTGAGGGAGAAAAGGTACTAAGAGGAAGGATCAGGAGAAGCTTCCTGGAGGGGGTGGTGTTGAGTTCAACTTTAAAGGACAGATGAAGAGGGGGATATAAGGAATTCCAGGCACTGGGGACAACCAAAGCAAAGGCATGGGAATGAGAGAAGGCGATGAAGGTTTACCTCTGCTAAGGGCTATTCTCTCCTTATCCTCTGATTCGGTACAAAAGTGGCTCCAGAAGAGGGCCCTTCCTTCCTACAGCCATGATAATTTCATGCCTTCTCCTTCATTCGCCACCCCAAAAGTACCCTATTCGAAGCATGCCCCAACCAACTTAGACAAGGCCCACCCAGTCCCACAGTCAACAGTAAGAGGATAGAACTGGTTTGACATAAACCACTACCATGACTGCGTGGTAAGAATAGACTGCTGGAGCTGGAAGGAACCTTGGAGATAATCTAGCCTGTTTTCCCCACCCTCCATTTGAGAAATGAGGTGAACTGAAGCCCAGAAAGGAGAAGAGATGTGTCCAAGCAGATTAGTGACAATCAGGAGCTGACCTCAGGTCTTTGGACTCCCAGGCCAGGGTTCTTGCCACTATACCTTGCTGCCCTCCTTCCATTATAATATGCTATTTAGAGGGATGGGAGAGATAGGGTCAGGAGGGTATGGCTTGTTCTTTTAAGGGATCAAATGAGATTATATTTGTAATGCCTAGCACATAACGGGTGTTTAATAAATATTTGTGCTCTTTTCCTTCCCTTTTGAGGGGGAAAGGTGGACACAACAGCGACATTCGTCTGTCAATGTGGGGCATGTGGTCACTTAATATTTCAGGGATATCTGGAAATCACTGATTTCATCAGTGTAAAGATTCCATTCATTGACACCAAGCACATCTTCCAATATCTTAGTTGCAAGTTTTATGAAATGTTGTGGCTGAAAAAAATAATTAGCTGGTAGTCAACCTTTTAATGCATGTGACATGATGAAGCCTCTGGAACTTTTCTTGGGGAGGGGGGAATGAATAAATACTTACATAGCTCCTATCATGTGCCATGCACTATGCTAAGTACTTTGCGAATATTATCTCATTTGATTCTTTTAACAATCCCTGGGAGGTAGGGATTATTATTGTTCCCATCTTACAGATGAAGAAGCTGAGGCGAACAGTGGTTAAGGGCCACACAGCTAGTAAGTATCTGAGGCTAGTTTGGAAGTCATGTTTTTCTGACTGCAGGCCCAGCACCCTCTCTATCTAGTAGCTAGCTCCTCACAAATGTCTATAAATTCATAAAATAAAATATAAAGGATTAAAGAAGAAACCAATGATACTGAAATGCAGTTGTCAAAATTACAAAATCAACAAACGTAAAACCAAGTTCGAGGACCCCAGGTTAAGAAGCAGTTTTAGGGATTACCATTTCCTCACTGAACAAATCTGGTCCTAGATAGTAAACATACAGATCTACAGAATCTTTTCTACTTTTTTTAGGAACTGCCAGAGGCTTATGTCCTGCTGGAACAGCCTTGGAGAACTCAAGGTTAAATCTTGGCCCTGGAGATAATAAAAGCTAACTTTTATATGGCACTCAAGGTTTGCAAAGCACTTTACCTATATCATCTCATTAGACAACCAAAACCCTGTCAAGTAGGAACTATTATATCTCCACTTTACACATAATGAACCTGGAGTCAGGAAGACCTAGGTTCAAATTTGACCTCAGATACTATGTGACCCTGGATGAGTCATTTATCCACTATTTGCCTTAGTTTCCTCAACTGTAAAATGGGGATAAAAATAGCACCTACTTCCTAGTGTTATCATGAGGATAAAATAAAATATTTGCAAAACACTTTGCAAACCTTAGAGTGAAATATAAATGCCAGCTATTATTATGAAATAACACAAAGAGATTTCAAGAAGGAGAGAGGACTAATGAGTGGGTGGAACAGGATTGGCACTTTAGCTGGGCTGCACTTGGAAAGTCATTAGGGACTCTAACAAAGCAGAGCTAAGGAAAGAATGCATTCTACTGCGTTCGTAGGTGGTGGTGGGCAACATAATGGGGAATTATTGTGGAATAAAAAACCCCAAGGAAATCAATCAAACTTCTTTTAAAAACAGATAAAAAGAACTCAGAGCCATCTTCATAACCCAATGAGGCATTTGAGCAGAGTTTTGGGAAAAGGTATTCCTGGCTTGTTCAAGGAAAATAATTGACTCATTGAAACTCAAGTTATGTTTTATTGTATGCTTTTAAAGCTGATGGCATTTTCTTTGGGTTAGGCCACTTTGTAAGAAGGAGCAGCATTTGAAATAACCTCTTCAACAGAAATCTTTTTTTTTTAAATAAACTAGGATATGTTTAGCTTCCAAAGAGGATGTGTCTATTTTTCATGATTATGTGTATTTGTGCCATAGAAAAACGGACGTTTTCTTTCCAAAGTTCAAGCTAGATCAGAAGTATGAGGTACAAGAAATCCTTAAGCAGATGGGAATAAGAGCAATATTCTCCCCCTGGGCTGATCTGAGTGAACTCTCGGGTCCAGCAAGGAATCTGAAAGTGTCTAAGGTAAGTTGTGAGTTCTTACAAGAACAGGTGTCGCATTGTCAACTTCACCAAATAACTATTAAAAAAAATTCAGTGGCTTCAATGTAGAGATACCCACATTATAGCCAGTAGAGAAGGATTTCAAAGTCCGTAAGGTCTAAACAGCAAAGAAGTTTGTGTTGAGACTTTGTATTGAGTGGATGTGTGCCTATATACGTAAATAGTATTGCAATGTATTGGGAGGCTCTGGTGGTCCTTGCTAGGCATCAAATTAGCCAAGACATGCATACACACACACATGCATGAATGCGAGCACGTCTGGATCAAGTATGTACCAGAAGAAGGGCTCTGGTCCATACTTGCCCTAGAACTAAACTAATATTAAAGTGATTTTCAATTTATTTAAAAACAAACATGCAAGTCAATTCCATTTCCAGGATATATTTCTCTTTGGGGTTGGGGAGTTGGATTGATAATCAACTAGCATCAGTGGATAGAAGTTACAGCTTAATACAAGAAATAACTTATTATCAACTAGAGCTGTTTGTACATGAAATTGACTTATTATCAACTAGAGCTGTTTGTACATGAAATTGGCTACCTCTGGAGGTAAAGAGCTCTCCATTACTGGAGGTCTCTGGGGAGTGGCTAGATGACTACTACTGTCTGGGATGTTAGGCAGGGAGTTGAATAAGATAATTTATAACTCTGCTCAATCTCTAAGATCCTAAGAGATTTACTCAAGAGGAGACATAAGATGCCAGTAAGGTCCCCAATCCCTCAGGGGTTCCTATTAACTTTGAAGATTTGAAGGGTGTTGATCCAAATCAAGGATCAGCTGGGACCTGCTCCCTTCCCTCCAATGTATTCTTTCCACTGGGATCTGGTCCAGGCCCCAGAAAGCTCGTGTTGGCTTCCCTCACCTTTCTTAGCCTTGAGCTAAATTCCTACAGTTTAAGAAATTCTTAAGTCAACCCAGATTTCACAATATATAGCAGAAAGTTCCTCAAGTTTCATTTGGACTATGGCCTCAAGCTTTAAGGGATATACAGTCCCCCTGGTGATATATGATAAGGCTGAACTCAGGGTGGAAAAATTCAAAGGCAAACAGCAAAAGAATTGGAGAAAAACTTTCCCTCAGGGGTGACTTGGTGCTGTATGTCTGGTTTGTTACTATTTGCATATTATTTCATTTCCATTGGTAGATTTTGCAGAGAACAGTAATTGAAGTCAATGAGAGAGGGACTGAAGCAGCAGCTGGAACAATGTCAGAAATTGTTGCCTACTCGATGCCTCCAGTCATCAAAGTAGATCATCCATTCCACTTCATGATCTATGAAGAGACATCTAAAAGTCTGCTCTTCCTTGGCAGGGTGGTCAACCCATCTCTTCTATAATTCATAACACGCACAAATGGCTTACTACCCTTTGGTAGTACATATGATAATGCATAAGACAGAGGTGGGGCAGGAAGAGAGTTGCCCTCATGCCAGGTTAGTTTTGGTTGTGCTTCTAGGTTTGTGTGGAAATCTGCTGGGAGGGAAGATGAAGATACTATTTACTGTAGGGAAGTCTTCGTGCCTTCTACCTCACATTTTAACCCAGTTTTCAGCCACTCACACATGGCAGCATGACTAGTTTGACAATAAGGCTTCATGACTCAAGTGGAGTCTATTCTGTTGCCTACAACACAGTGCTTGATATGATGGACGTTATTAGAGCACAGTTTGAAAGACAAAGAGCTTGGAAGGAATGGGCCTGTAAGAAAGCTTCTCCTTAAAATTCGCCTCTATTTTCTTCTAGTGCTAAATAAATTGTTTCTTTATAAACCGTTAGAGTGTCACTCACTGGTGGCTAAAATGAAGGGAAATAATTGTAGTTATACAGTCAGCACTGCATTTGGCTCCATGACGTCAACTCAGTTGTAATGTTTTTCAGGCAAATTTAAAAGGATGGTGGTAGAATCACAGGATATTATGGCTCGATGGGTCTTTACAGATGACCTCGTCCATACCTACCATTTTAGATTAAGAAACTACAGTGCTCATATGGCTAGTCAGTGACAGAACTAGGACTGCAGTTAAGTCTCCTGTCTTCCTGGCCAGGTCTCTCTCCATCACACCAAGCTACAGCAATTAAAGTCTCTCTAATAAACAAACACCTTCCAACAAACTTTACAAAAATCAAGCAGTTGTTTCTGTTTCTCCAAATCACCTGTAAAAGCCAACAAAGCAGAAAGACACAAGATGATAATGAAAACAAAAATGATGAAGAATGAACTCTTTTATTCCTTCAGAAAAATGTTGAGTAGCTCATTAAGGGGATTCATTTCCATGTTCTTTTGATTATATGCTTTATAATGCATTATAAATGTATTCAACCATTTTTGATTCGTTTCTAATATTTAAAACCGACTGAAAATGAATTGCTTGTTCGTTCTTTTTGTTCAGTGATTTACACCAGGAGTGAACTACAAGATATTCTTTGTATTCCAATAATGGGAATTAGTAACGTTCACACAGAAGACCCTATAATGGCAGGGATATTATAATGGATAAATGTTTGTTGAATTGAAATGGATTTATACCTCCATAAAGAATCTTGCCACTAATTAACTCTCATTGCTTTTGGTGAGTGGTTTGCTTGCGTCCCAGTCGGTTGAATTCATTTGTGGGGAAACAGCAAAGCAAGGAATAGAGGGAATAATCTAAACATAAGTAAACCATTTTATTCTATTTTAATTTGGTCAAGGAAAAAAAAACATCATAGGATCATAGGATTTCAAGTGGGAAGGGACCTAAGAGACAGTCTCATCCAACTCCTTTATTTTAGAGATGAGGAAAGTTCAAGGAAGTAAAAATGACTTGCTCAAAGTAGCCAAAAAGACATTACTTTTCAGCTGAATGCCCACCACCCTTCCAGAAATTTTGCATCAACGCAACAATAAAAAATGTTGTGGATGCCTTCTACTAGAATTTCAGGCTATAACACCTCAGTCATGTACCATCTCCATGACAGACTCTGATTTCAATGCCTGATATTTTTAAAAAGGCCAGGTAATTATGTAAACCAGAGATATCAAACTCTCCACCTACAGGCCAGTGTAGCCCAAACCAGATTAAAACGTAACTAGGAAATGTTTAACAAAGTAAATATACAATGTAGATGATGTTAATTTGTGTTTTTTTTTTTTAAGTCAATATGATGCCTGCAGGGATCCCGTTGCTATTTGAGTCTGGCACCTATTATAACCTACATCCTCCATCTACCTACCTGTTAGCACTCAATCTTCAGAATGCTTTTCTAGTAACAAAATTGAACACAGACAAAATAAAATTAAAAATAAATTCATAGAGACTCACAGTAATACTAATATGGAGCTGTTGAATATCGGACAACACTACCAAGACGTTCCTAATTCAGCTTTCTAACTTCTAATTTGCATGCTAGTCTATTCTCAGATTGCAAGTCAGCCTAATGTACATCACTCCCACTTTCAGGCTGCGACCTCCCCCCTTGAATTGGTTCTCTCTTATACACACCTACCCCCTTAAGCTCCCAAATATAACTAACATATCTAAATACCCATCTTTCCACAGATTTATAGGATGCCATGGGTCTGGCATTACTTCAAATGATAAAATTGTATTTCACATTCTTTTAGGAAGGTAAAGACTGGGGGGGGCAGCTAGGTGGCAGAGTGGATAGAGCTCTGGCCTTGGATTCAGGAGGACCTGAGTTCAAATCTGGCCTCAGACACATAACACTAATTAGTGGTGTGACTCTGGGCAAGTCACTTAACCCCGATTGCCTCACCAAAAAAAGAAAAAAAAAAGGTAAAGACTGGAAAAGGAACTACCTGAGAGAACAGAATGCCACTGAACAGAAATGAATGTGGTTGAACCTATATGTAGTCAGATAACAGCGTAGGCAGAATTCTTCCAAACACAGCTACTATATAGAAAGAGCCTGATATACTTAACACATGATTATTTAAGGCAGGAATTGGTCCTGTTCTCTGTTGCTGGGGTTTCACTGTATAGTCCTGGGGAACCTTAATCTAAATTTCAGAGGCTTCACGGTGATCTCTCAGAATTTTAACACCATTGCTTCCTGAAAGATGTAAACAGGTATCTTACAGATTTCAAGATTTAGTGAAGCCAAACATGGGAAAAGGCTTAGTAGGTGTTATGTTTAAGTACTCAACTCCAGTATCTAGTGCTGGGCTCCCATGTGTTGCTTTGCACTCAGAAAGTGCTTAAAACACATTTGTTGAATCGAATCGAATCATGTTTTAAAAACTGGGCAACAAATAAGCCACATCTGAATTAGCAACATGTTGTGAGGTAATATTACAACTTTTACTCTCAACATAAAATTCCAACTCAAGCCAAAAAGTCTGCTTCTAGCATAAGGAGCTGAAACCAAGTAAGCCAAACAATTCACCTCCCTTCTTTATTACTGCTCTTGTTGACAGAATAAAGGTTGATCAAGGTTTCAGAGAAAGCTTATGGATCTTAGAGATTCCCCATTATAGACTTTCAAATACTCTCTTCTAGAGAGCAGCGTATTGAGTTTACATGACGGACTCTAATTGGATAGATGTTAAGAGACACAGGGGACAGGGATAAATGAAATTACAAGGAGCCCCAAACTTCAGTCAGCCAGCACTTTCTATCTCCTCCACCAGACCTTTACTACTGACATCACAATCTGACTGGCTGACTGTTCAATTTTATTGAAAACCTTCTAGGAGCACTTAAGATCACGAACATGGCCAAAAAGCAGGTATCAGGAGGGACAAGGAGAAGAACAAGGCTTGGACAATCTTGAAGACAGTATTCCTTCCCTCACTTGCCATTAAATGAATTACAGTTTCTTACCTTTTAATTATAAAGGAAACATTGCAGAAAATGATTTAAAACTTTCTTCACAAATATATAGGTACTGCATTAGCCTATGTTTTATTTTTAATAAATTCATAATTCATTATTTCACATTATAAAAAGTAACCACACGCACATATGCATTCACAAATTAATTAATCTTTATCATACATCAATATATTAAAAAAACAAATATTATCTGATATCAATATAGTTATATGCTGATTGCATTTTGAAATAGAGAAGCTGACAATAGCTTCATACAATGTATCTCAAGTATTGGCATTTTAAAATAGAACTATATGTGCTCTGCAGGCAAATTTTGATGGAAATATTAGCATTAGTACAAATAAATGCTGTTGACATAGCTAAAGCATGATAGCTTGGAATAATAGCTAATTAAAAACTGGATTCATCATTTTAAAATTAAGTAAGGAGAAAAAATACAATCTAAAATTTAAACAAAGTATTTATAAAAGAAATTGTCCCATGAAATAAAGAAAATCATTAACCAATTATTTGGAGGTATTTGCTCCTAAAAATTACTGGAAACCTTTAAGAATTTTCATTGCCAAATTTGAATTTGGGGGTATCCAGGTACAAATTTATGTCAGCACAACCTTAGGACTGTCCATCTTGCAGGAAATTATACATTCTTCAGTATTTAATTTCCAATGGACTTGAAGATTATTTATGAATATACTATTAATTTCCCAAATAGATAATATAGCCAGGACAATTTTAACTGATTGTGAGTTCATAGCAATTTGCTAAAATGCTAAAACTGTAACTGAGAACAATTAATAGATGACACTGGTATCCTGCACTACAAAGGCGTAAATGTCTCTCTCGCGGCAGTAGTTAAAGCATATACCTAAAGTTGCATTTCGACATTTCACTATAACATCGGAATTCTGCAACCAATACATTATTTATAGAAATATATACTATGCAACCCAGGGAATCTAATTTCAAATATGGAGGCTTAATGATATCAGATGCAATGAAGTCTCTCCAATTCATTCATAAAAAGTCCCAGCTGTCACTCCTGCTTCTGCGAGCCATCCCATTACCTCCGGTTGTCTTTGGTTTTCTTCCTTGTCTATCAGGTGATCTAAGGATTTGATTTTCTAGATTTTCTTTGGGAAGAAAAAAGAAAAAGAATTTGAAAAATAAGAAAGGGAAGAAAAAAAAGAAGGAAGAGAAAGAAAAGGAAACATGCAAATTCTTACAGCTTTATATGAAAGTAATCTATTCAGTAGTACTGTCTGCAAATTGAATCAGGCACCCCACTATCAGCACACCTGATATACGACTAACTGGTTTTTTAAAAAAAACAAACCCCAAAACCACCACCACCAACAACAATTATATTCCTACACTCTGGTGTGGAAGGAGTTATTTTAATTAGCAAACTTGCCCAATAAACTGGAATCCAATTCAATTTATAAAAATTAACTTTTCACATTTTTAAACCAATTCTATAAGGCTAAGTAAGTAGTATTTGTATAAACATACAGAAATTGGGATGTGCCTTAAAGTCAGCTGATTAGGCCTAAAAGATAAAGCTCTGAAAAATGAAAACATGTATTCAACAATGAAAACATGGTGACTGATGACCACAAATATCAACTGTATTAGACTGATAATATTAGGAAGCATAAGAATAATTGGTGAACATTTTTACAGCATAAATGAAGATTTTGGTATGACTAAAAATCTTTGGAGCCAATTTACTGTGTCCAGGTACAAATTTATATCAGCAATCTTAGGACTGTCCGACTTACAGGAAATCGTACACTTTTCAGTATTTCTTTTCCAAATACCTGAACAGGAAATATTATGTTCCTTTTGAGCATAGTATAGGGCTGAATTTCAGAACATACTTTAAAAAAAACTAGGCCAATGAAGGGATTTACTATAGCATACAATTTACTGAGCTGGAAAGGATCTTAAGAAGTCACCTAGTCCAACCAGACCTGAATTATGAATCTTTTTTTTTTAAATAATTTAGCTATTTTTAGTTTTCAACATTCACTTACATAAGATTTTGAGTTTTACATTTTCTCTCCTCCTTCCTCCCCAAGATGGCATGCAATCTGATACGGACTCTACTTGTACATTCATTTGAAGCATATTTTCCCATTACTCATGATGTAAAGAGAACATTTAGAACTAATGGGAGGTGAGAATGAAGCAATAAAACAAAACAACAAAGGAAAAGGAGAGCAAATAGTACGCTTCCATCTGCATTCAGACTCCATAGTTCTTCCCCTGGACGTGGATAGCATTTTCCATTGTGAGTCTTCTGGAGTTGTCTTAATCCTTGCATTGCTGAGAAGAGCCAAGTCTATCATAGCTGATCATTGCACAGTGTTGCCATTACTATGTACAATGTTCTCCTGCTTCTGCTCACTTCACTTAGTGTCAGTTCATACAAGTCTTTCCAGGTTTTTTCTGAAGTCTGCCTGCTCATCATTTCTTATAACACAATAGTATTCCATTACATTCATATACCGCAACTTGTTCAGCCATTCCCCAACTGATGGGCATCCTCTCAATTTCCAATTCTTTGCCACCACAATAAGAGCTGCTATAAATATTTCTGTACATGTGGGTCCTTTTCCCATTTTTATGATCTCTTTGGGACATAGCCCTAGAAGTGGTATTGCTGGATCAAAGGGTATATACACAATTTTATAGCCCTTTGGGCATAGTTCTAAATTGCTCTCCAGAATGGTTGGATCATAACCCCAACAATGCATTAGTGTTCCAATTTTCCCACATCTTCTCCAACATTCATTATTTTTTTTCTGTCCTATTAGCCAATCTGATAGGTGTGACCTCAGAGTCGCTTTGATTTGCATTTCTCTAATCAATAGTGATTTAGAACATTTTTATATGACTATAGATAGCTTTAATTGAATCTGTTTTTTAATAGGCCTAACAGTGATCATAAAAGCTTTGCAAAACACCTCAAGTGATGAGGAATTTACTACCTCCCAGGGCAGCCCATTTCACTGTTGAATTGCTCTAGTTTTTTGGAAAATTTCTTTTATATTGAAATGAAATATGCCTCCCTGTGACTTTCATTTCTTGTCCCTAGTTCTCCCTTTGGGGGTCAAAGACATTAAATCTAAATAATTCATCAACCTGAGAGCTATTCAGAAATGTTGCTACGGGAACTTTGGTTTCACTAATTTTTCTCTTCCTCAGTTTCTACAACTAACCATGACGTGATATGGCATTGAATCCCCTCAGCATTCTTATCACCCTCTTGGACAAGCTTTGTCAGTGTCTCTCTTAAAATGTGGTGGCCAGATCTAAAAATAAAAATTCATGCACAGTTTGACTAGGTAAGGCTTCAGTGGGACTACTGCTTCATAACAATGTACCCGTGACACAGATACACATTTATGAGGAAGATTAAATTGAAATCATACAATTTTTCAAGGTATTTGTGTACATGTCTCCCCAGGAACATGTCACTCCTGTTTCTGCTGAGTAATCAGCATAATGAGTATAGAGAGTTCTTCTCTTTCAGTTCATTCAGAGAGAAAATTCTGAAATTGCTCTTGGAAAGAATTTTTTTTTTATCCCCATTCCTTAAGAGGCAGCATGGTATAATGTGATGACAACTAGACTGGTAGTAAAAAGAAGTTTTAATCTTATCTCTACCACTAATTAGTTGTGTGGCCTGGAACAATTCACTAACCCCCACCCCCACATACCATCCCAGTTTCCCTCATCTATGAAATGGACTAGATAATCTTTCAGGTCCCTTCCTACTCGAAAGATTCTGTGTTCTCTGATTTGATGTTTTTTGAACAGGAGAGAAAGCAGCCTGTTGGCATAAAAATAGTCTTTAAGAACAAAAGGACGGTTAGAGATAGGAACCCTGAAAAGAGCAAACTACCATTTTCTTAGAGATTTCAGCTTCTTCCTCTCCTTATACATGGGATTTAAAGTTGATGATTCAAACAATTCGAGATGGGGGGAAAGGATAAATTCTGGTAGTATTACATAGATTTCCTAATGGAAGGATCCTAAGGAAATCTTTAGTCTTCATTTGCCCAAGTTTCATGTGAAGACGTTTCTTTCCTTTTAAGAAAATTACGAAAGGGCTATAAACTCTATTACAAACTCAACTTTGCTCCTTCCTCTGTCAAGAGAATCATGAAATGTTATAGTTTGAAGGGATTTTGGAGAATATCTAATCCATTCCTTTCATTTACACAAAGGAGGAAACTGAGGCCCGGAGAGAGAAAGTGATTGAAAGAAACTTTCAACCTAATTATTGATTACTAATTAGGTGTGCTATATTTTTTAAATTCTTATAGGTTCTTATTCTTTACTTGGGTTGCATATACATGGTCAGGACTAGAAGTCAGATAGCCTAACCAGTTCATGGCTCTTTCCATTATTTCACGGTACCACTCTAGCCTCTTGGATTTAAACAGATTCTTCTGGTAAAAATCTATTTCTAGCATGCATATTTAGCAATGAATAGAGTGCTAAAGTTATAGAGAAAGGTACCTATATCCTTAAACAGCATAAGAGCTTTTCTTCTTAATCCAAAATTACTATTGGTATGATTTTAGGGCTGGTAAAGACCTTCAATATTATTAACTAGGTAGGTACATTACCTTTTTAAATTCTTGTACACTCAGTCTCTTTCTTTAAGTTATATTTTACTGATGCTAAATCTTGTATAGAGTTAGATATCCTAAAAAAATGCATCCATACCTTGATACATGGTATGGCTTATTAGAAGTTCGCAGAGAGAGCTAGAGAGAAAGGGAGAGAGAAAGGAAGAGAAAAGGACGGGGGGGAAGGAGACAGAAAGAGGGGAGGAAGGAGAGAGGTAAAGGGAGAGGAGGAGGAGGAGAGGACAGAGGAAAGGAGGAGAGAGGGAGAGAGAAGGAGAAGAGGAAAGAAAAAGGGAGGAGGGGGAGGGAGAGAAAGAGAGGAAGGGGAAAAGGGGATGAGAGGGGAGGAGAGAAAGAGGAGGAAAGAAAGAAGGAAAGTGGGAAAGATGTAGTCTTTTCTCTAACTTCAAATAAGCCTATGGAAAGAATTCATAATAGAGTCTCTGAAAGTTGCTCATGAATAGTTACTAGAACATATTAAAACATTAACATGAAAAGAAAGTAATTCTGAAGTATAATTTGATATGATGACAAATACAAAACAAATTTTAGATCTCTTAATTGAACCACTTGGATAATTGGTATTCTGCATTAAAATTATTCTGATGCTGTGAAAACTCTAATCAACCTTCCCCTTTGGATGCTGTTATAAAAGTTCAGTTCAAAGTATTTAGAACTTCAACAATTTGAGAAAGAAGTATGACTGAAATGAGTAAAAAAAAAGGGCTGCTAAGGAAAAGGAGAACATCAAATTTTCTCTAATTCTGATTTGGGAAAATGAGTTTCACAAAAATAACATGATTGTTTTTCAAGCAGCTCAGATGACTTCAATCTGATGCACTTCTACAGGATTTTGATGCACTTTTAGAGGATGATGCTGTCTTCACATTTCAGGCAAAAGCATAGGCAGCAAAGCCAACCAAATTACTGGAACTAACAAAAAAAAAACCCCAAACCCTGCAATTTCATAAGCATATTTTCTTAAAGACACAATTACAGAATTGATTTTCAACCATAAAAATCTTTCTGACTGTAAGATTGTGGATGAATCAGGTGAAAGAAACCACAATGAGGAAGCTTCATCCAATACCCTGTACTTAGTCAGAGATGACTAGTTGGATCAATGAGGAAAGAGACAAATATTAGCTTAATTTTGCACTACGGAAACCAATTGTAATGGCTTCTGCAGATTTCACTAACATTACAATGTTCTTGTCATATATTATTTATCACATCTAAAATTTCTCCCCTTAAAATGTATTGTGTTTCCATGTTTCAGGCATTTATTTTCAAGGGAACTTGGAAGCTGTACAAATAAAAATGAGGACTTTTACTTTGCAGTACCATCCAACAACTGATCACTTACAAGGTAGCCTTTCGAGACTGAGTATCTTTACTTCCATTGTTCTTTTGGTCAACTGAGTTATTTATGTTACGGGAAGTACTTGGTAAGGAGGTATTAGAATAAAGAGATGCATTACCACTGGAATTGCGGGTCCGGAATGAATCATCTGAAAGATATTCACATGTAGACTAATGAAAGGTTTACCTTTAAGCATAAAGTGCCATGAATTTTGGTTAAAATTTCAGGTCTATAGTTTAGGTATATACTGTAATTAAGCCAACTTACTAAAATGAATTATCTTTGAAAAGAAATATACATTCATATATACATGCATACATTATACATTATATATACACACATATATAAAATCACACATATACGTTTATGTAGTTATATACAGAAAAATGATTATAGGAAATTATTATGTAAAATAGATTTACTATGAAGTCTCTCCCACACTATCTCCTCCACCTATCTTCTCAAGAGAGGATCTCATCTCATTTTATTGAGAAAATGAAGTTTCTTCACTGTGAGATCCCTCTTTTCCTCTACTCTGAACCTTAAAACCCCTTGATGTCATCCACAATTCTCCTCTCCTTCCTGACTCCTCTCTCTAATGAAAAGGAGGCCCTTCAACATGCCAAAGCCAGCTCCTCTACATATACGCTTAACCCCAGTCCTTAATGTCTTCCCTGGCAGACTGCCCCCACAATCATCCTCCACCTTCATCTTTTCTCTCTCCCATTCTACTGATTCATTTTCTGTTGCCTAGAAACGTGTTTAGTTCTTTACATCCTTTAAAAACTTTCACTTGATCTTACCATCCTCTCAAACTCTCATTCTAAAGCTCTCCTTCCTTTCACAGATGAATTCCTAGAAAAAGCTATGTGCCCTTGAAGTCTCCACTTCCTCTCTTAGTCACTTCTCAACCCTTTGCAATATGGCTTTTGAATTCACCATTCAATTGACACCGCTCTCTCCAAAGTTACCAAATGATCTCTCAATTGCCAAATTGAATGGCCTTTACTCAACTCTTCACTTTCTTAGCCTTTCTGTAGCATCTGATGCTGCTGACTCCTCCACTCCCCATTCCTAGATACTCTGTCTTGGTTTTCATTACACTGTTCTCTCTCATTTTCCTCTTACCTGTCCTTCTTGGTCTTCTTGGCTAGATCACCCTCTGTATCCTGCCCCTACCTGTTGGCATACTGTATTCTGGAAACTTTTTCTTTCTCTCTACGTTTTCTCTCTCTAGTGAACTCATTAGCTCCCATGGGTTCAATTATTATCTCTATGCAGATGATTCCCAGATCTATGTATCTAGCCCTCATTTCTTTGCTGAGCTCCAGTTTCACATCACCAGTTGCCTTATGGACACTTCAAAATAAAATGTTTGGCAACTCAAACTTAGCATGTTCAAAACAGAACACATTTTCTTCTTCTTCCAAACTTTCCTACTTCTGGCCAGAGGACGACTATCCTTTCAGTTAACAGAACTCACCACCTCCGTCATTCCTAATTCATCACTTGTCCTCGCTGTGTGCATCCAAGCAGCTGGCTAAGTCTTGCTGACCCACCTCCACAACCTCTCTCACATTTATTCTATTCTCTCCACTCTCAGAGCCATGGTCCTCCTCCAGGTCCTCCTCATCAGCTCTCACCTGGACTATTACACTAGCTTCCCAGTGAGGCTCCCCTCTCCAGTCCACCCTCCACATAGCTGTCAAACTGATGGTAGCTCTGGAGCACAGGCCTGAGCATGTCACTTCTCTGCTTAGTAAATTCCAGTCCTTCCCTCTAAGATCAGATTCAAATTCCTCTGTTTGGCATTTGGAGCCAGGGCAGATTGATGGGGCTTTAACTTACCTTTCCAGCCTTATTATAGATTATTTCTATTTATACACTCCACAACCCAGTGAAATTGACCTTGTGGCTATTCCATACATGTGAAATTCCATCTTATCATAATCTCTGTGTCTTCCCACAGCTGGTCTCCCATGCCTAGAATGCAAAACTTCCTCTCCTTGGCCTCTCAGAACTCCTTCTTTCTTCAAAAGCTCAGTTCAAGTACCATCTCCTACATGAATTCTTTTCTGACACATCCAGCTTCAAGTGGCCTCCACTGACCAAATTACTTAGTACATATTCTGTCTCCCTGAGTGCCAGAGGCTGTTTCATTTTTGTCTTTGTATTCCCCTCATCTAGCACATCACCGAGAACACAGTAGAACCTTAATAAATTTTTAAATTCATTAAGTCAGTTAATAAGCATTTATTAAGGGCCCCACTATGTGCCAGGCACTGTGCCAAGTGCTGGCAATACAATGAAAAACAAAATGAAGCCCCTGCTCTCAAGGAGCTTACAGTCCAATCAGAATTTAAAAACAACAACAAAAAAGCTCATTTCTTTCTATTTAAACATATTTGATTTTTAGACTCACAAGTCTCTTGCCATCTCATTTTCCTTCTTAATCCTCAACTGATTTTTTAAAAGACAATTGGGGTTAAGTGACTTGCCCAGGGTCACACAGCTAGTAAACGTCAAATGTTTGGTCTGAGGCTGGATTTGAACTCAGGTCCTCCTGACTTCAGGGCTGGTGCTCTATCCACTGCGCCACCTAGCTGCCCCCCTCAACTGACTTTTTTTTTAAGGTTTATATAAACCATCTTTTGAAAGAACTGATATAAATATTTTGACCAATAAAGTATTTTTGAATGAATCAGCAGAATCATAGGATTTAAGAGGTGATCCACTATTCCTTCCATCATGATGCAATATACCCAATGCTCACTGATGGTAGATTCCAGAGATTCTCTTCTGAACCTTGAAGGCCAGGTATGTACTGGCAAAGTAAAGTAGAAAAATTAATTTATATGATCAATTAAAAATTACTTATCTCATTTATCAGTGTATATCAGGACAAAGACTTTCTTGTCCATCATAACTCTACTGCAGAAAAACCTGTGAAAGGGCTGGTTGACCCTGACAAAATTTGTTGAAACCTGTAAAGCTATTCAAAATTATCTTCAACTTGGACTATGTGATGCAAATCCACTCCTGCCGAAAATGGAAGTACATTTATTGCCTGCCAAAGGCATCAAATTTAAGTTCCCAAAGCCTGAATAATTCACAAACCTCTAGCTAAGGATTCCTTGTTTAATTTTGCTCAGTTCATGTTAAAGGCAGCTTGACATTTGCATTACCAAGAGTCCCTGGATATTTCAGTGGGTTTTTAATGCCTTTTATACTTGAGCAATATGAATATGGGCATCTACTGTCTTTATGAATATACAGAGGACATCATGAAAAGTATGGGAAAGATATATGAATATTAAATATAAAACCTGAGCATAGGAAGAAAAGCAGGTTACAGAGCCTTTTAATTCTTTTGCTGTTATTTTTAAACACCTTTAAGTAGATTCACTGCTGCGGACAATGAAAAGAGGAAGCCGATTCAGTATCAACAGAAATCTCTACCAATGCTTACAATGTAGAAAGTTAAAAGGACATCTTTAGCAACTACCAATTTTAACTCTACGTTTTCTTTTGTCAATATAAAAATGTTCATCATATAAGTTCTATTATTACTTTATGAAGTCTGATATAAATACATAATAGCTCCTATCATTTATTAACTTCTGGAAGAAGTTACTGTTATAACCTTTAGTCTGTGTCTAAACTGGCCCTCAAAGCCTGTGATGTCATTCATCCTGACATTTTGTCTTTTCTCTCTTCAAATGACTGAGTAGTTGGCTTATAGCACTATAAAAACCAAACAGTATATTCAAGTGTTCTTTCACCTACTTGAAAAAGTTTTTATTTCCATAGGGTTTTGATGAAGGCACAGACTTAAGAGAAAATTCTGTACCTAGAAGTGAAGAAATGTTTAACTAGGTTAAGTTCAAGTTATCAAACTTAAGACTTCCTACAGTTCAGACACTTACCAGTATATGAAAGCACAGATTTTCCAGTCCCTGAGACAGAAGTTGCATATACTGTTGTAGAATTTTTACTAAAAGAGAAAATAAATTTTATGGAACATTTAAAATGCAGGAACATGCTTTTTTCAGACATATAGTGGATAGCATATGGATATATTATGTTAGTAGAGTTTTAAAATTAATATACATTCTATTTCTATCTTGGTAAATATTTTCCAAATCAAACGTTTCAGCAAATTAAATATTTGACAGAGTCTTAATATCCCATTCCCAAGAAAATTGTTTTACTACAGACACTTGAATTCTACCTTGAATGCTAACTTGCACCTTTGAAGCAGCTTAATAGAAATGTTAGTTTCCATGCAGCTGGGGTCTTTAAGACAGGTAAATGTTCTTGTAAACATTTTCATCTCTGCAGATCAAGTCCCTTTTGTACTAAACTGATCTAAATCTCTATTCTTTTTATTCCCCATCCTGGGATTTTCTTATTGACTAAGAACTCTCATTAGACTCCAACAATTGTCTGTTAGAAATGTTAGAAACACACTCTTACAAAATTGGAAAAGACTAAAAGACTTTTAGAAACATATTCTCTACAAAACTTTACTTGTAGTTTTAATAGACTCCTTCCTATTTCCTTCTTATTGCTTTACCAATTTAAATGTAGCTGCCATGCTTTTAACATGTTACAAAAACACCCCACCAAAACGACATAGGCATTCATTTGAATGACACAGATTCTCCCTTCACTTATCTCTGTATTTAAAGTCCAGGAATGTCCTCTTCCTGCAGGCCTTCTAATAGACAATGGTGTGGACCAGTAGTGTCAAACTCAAATACAAACGGGCATCACTAAAGATACCTAAAGATCCTTGCAGCCCCACACCAACTTAAGCTTTACAATGTAATATTATCTGTTTTATTATGTTTTTACTTATTTTATTATTTCCTAATTACACTTTAATCTGGTTTGGGCCACATTTGGGAGTCCTGTGGGCTGTGTGTTTGACACCTCTGGTGTAGACCACTGTAGATCACAGAATGATGGTACCAACAGGACTGAGGCTTTTTTTATCCTTTAGAAGTTACATGTCTAGAGCAATGAAGCTCCTTCCATCCAAATGAAGTTATGTTATGACTCCTATATATGATGTTACACAGTTTTAAGACAGGCAGCTTCCTCCACGCTCTGGCATCTTTGGTAGTGGTCCTACTCATATACAAATTGGTGGATTGAATAGCTTTTTAAAGTGATGTTCTTGTAAAGAATGTATGCTTATTCACTTCCTTCAAGGCCAACTTAGAAATCATGAAGCCTTTCACAAAGCCTTCTCTGACCACCATTAGGTAAAAGTGGTCCGTCCTTGCCTCCAACTTCTCAGAACCCTTTCTCCGGCCCTCTCCTTTGCAGTTACTTTCCGCACACTACTCCATATCACAGTTATTTATATCATAGTTACAGATGGACATTGAAAGAGGTAAGTTTAGATTTAACGGAGGGAAAAACTTACTAATAATTAAACTCTCTGAAAGTGGACCTCTGGAGGCAATGGGTGCAACCTCATTTGAACAAGTACACCTTGGATGATCCCTTGTAAACAAGGGACGTTTGTGGAGAGGTTATTATTTAGGGATAGATTAGACTAGATTACCTCTGCAGTCCCTTCCAGCTCAGAAATCCTGTTATTATTATATGTAGGTATCTTCCCACATTAGGCTGTAAGCTTTTTTTTAACTTCAGAATCTGTATCTTATCTTTGTTATCTGTAGTGTCTTTCACAAAGCCTTATGTGTGGTTGATAGCTTAATAAATTTTGAACTGAAAACAAAGGAAGTAGGGCAGCTAGGTGGCACAGTGGATAGATAGAGTGCCAGTCTTAGAGTCAGGAGGGCTCATCTTTCCAAGTTCAAATCTGGCCTCAGACACTTAAGAGCTATGTGGGCAAGTCACCTAACCCCGTTTGCCTCAGTTTTCTCATCTATAAAATGAACTGGCAAAGAAAATGGCAAATCACTCCAGTATCTTTGCCAAGAAAACTCCAAACAGGGTCACGAAGAGTCAGACATGACTAAAAACAACTGAACAACACCAAAGGAAATAGATGAACTTTTGACCTTTGGATAGCCTGTAATCAATTCTGTAATTTTTCCCCTTAGGATCAGGTAACTCTAAGCAAAAATAATGAATTAGAGCAAGAGGATAAGATTTATAACTGTTGCTTACAGAGTAGAGGGCCAGAACTTAAGACATACCCAGTACACTTTTCTAAGTTGCCATATTTAGGGTGAAGAGCTTGACTACTGAAGGACTGGCTTCTTACCAATTTGGATTTCTTGACTTCTTTGCCTGGAGGAAATAAGTAAAAATAAACATTTAAACTGTGATTTGTTTTTCACTTTCACTAACAAAAAAAAAGATCTAAGTTGTTCTGTCAGAGAAGACTAACTGAAATATCTGGAAGATAATCTAATAAGACATTTCAATTGTACCCTACATATTACCAAAGAACATGGAAACAACTAACAAGAAAATGCAAAAGGTACAGTCTCTGGTATGTCCTCTAATTGCATGTACCAACTCTTTTCCCACAACTAATGTGTATACAAAGAAGGAAGCAGCATAAAAGGAAGTTGTTCCTTACTTGTTGATGGGGTGCATGAAGATGATCCCGCAACACTCATAGGAATGGTTTTCGGCAGAACAGCTGATGTTTTACTGTCTCTACCTGCAATTTGGTGAAAGTGCTTTCGTTATTTTTATCACTCAAATTTTACTGAACTCTATACATATATAACAGGAAATGAGATTACAAAAGCTGTTTCTTCACATACCACCTAAATCTCAGTATTTTTTTTCATACATCCTTATTTATATGCTTTAGACTTAGTTATTCATTGCTCAGTCCTCACTCTCTCCTGGTTCTATCTCACTGTTCCTTTGCTGGAGCTTTATCCAGGCCACGCCCTATACCCACAGGTGTCCTTCAGGGTCTGCCTAGGGCCGTCCTCTCTTCTCCCTCTGTGCTACACTCGGTGACCTCAGCAGCGCCCGTGGATATAATGACTATTTCTGTGTTGATGATTCCCAAATCTACCTGACTGTCTGCTGACCTCCAACTGTGTATCTCCAAATGCCTTTTAGACATCTTGAACTGAATGTCCAGTAGACAATTTAAACTCAATCTGTCCAAAACAACTCATTATCTTTCTTTCTTTTCTTTTTTTTTTTTGGCTAGACAGTGGGTAAGTGACTTGCCCAGGGTCATACAGCTAGTAAGTGTGTTGTGTCTGAAGCTGGATTTGAACTCAGGTCCTCCTGAATCCAGGGCTGGTGCCCTATCCACTGCGCCATCTAGGTGCCTCAATTCATTATCTTGCACTCTAAACACTTCCCTTGTCATACCTTCCCTATTATCGTAAAGGAAGACATGATCTTCCCAGTTACCCAGGCTCACAACCTTGGTGTCATCTTGGATTCTTCACTCTCACCCCATATATCAAGCTATTGCTAAGGGCTATCAACTTCACTTTTGTAACATCATTCAAATATACCCCCTTTTCCCTTCTACACACTGCAACTAACCTAGTGCCGACCCTCATGACCTCATGCCAGGACTACTGTAATGGTCTGCTGGTGGGTCTGCCTGCCTCAAGTCTCTTCCCAATCCAGTCCATCCTCCATTTAGCCACCTAAGTGATAAAGTGATTTTCCTACAGTGCAGATCTGACCATGTCACCTCACCTCACTACTCAATAAATTCCAGTGGTTCTCCATTGCTTTCAGGATCAAATACAAAATGCTCTGTTTGGCATCAAAGCCCGTTATAATCCAGACTCTTCCTACCTTTCTGGTCTTCTTTCACCTTATATCCCATCATGTATTCTTATTGTTGTGAGGCAATCGAGGTTAAGCGACTTGCCCAGGGTCACATAGCTAGTAAATGTCAAGTGTCTGAGGCCAGATTTGAACTCAGGTCCTCCTGACTCCAGGGCCAGTGCTCTATCCACTGTACCCCCTAGCTGTCCCCACCATGTACTCTTCAATTCAGAGACACTGGCCTCCTGGGCTGTTCCAGGAGAATAAGAAACTCCGCCTCTTTTTTTGCTTTAAATTAATTAATTAATTTTTAGTTTTCAACATTCACTTCCCAAAATCCTTTTTGAGCTCTTCCATGGCCTGAGACTGATTCATATTTTTCTTGGAGGCTTTGGATGTAGGAGCTTTGACTTTGTTGTCTTCTTCTGGTTGTATGTTTTGATCTTCTTTATCATCAAAGAAAGATTCTATGGTCTTACTTTTTTTGTGCAGTTTGCTCATTATCCAAGCCAATTACTTGAGTTTTAAACTCTTTGTTAAGGTAGGGATCTGCTTCCAGTGTGGAGAATGTACTGTCCCAAGCTTCAGGGGTTTTGTGCAGCTGTTTTCAGAGATACTTTTAGTGACCTGTAAATTTTCAGTTCTTCCGAGGTGGTACGATCAAGCGCGAGGTGTTTACTCCTTTCCTGGCCTGGCCTCTGGTCTATGAGTGACCACAAACACTCTTTTCTGCCTTGGAACTGTGAGGAGGATTCTCTCTTTACCGCTACTACAAGCTCCACCATGCCAGTGCTTCTCCTTGCCCCAGGACCACCACCCAGAACTGTGACCCAGTTCCAAAGCAAGAGAATCCTGCCTCAGTGCTAGTAAAGAGATCCCTCCAATCCCCCTCTGATCAGTCACTTGATTTCCCCCTCAGTCTGTGGACTGGAAGCTCTAGAAGCAGCCATTGCCCCAGGGGTGCACAGGGATTGGGGCTGAGATCAAGCTTCTCTCTCACTGTGGTCACAGACCTTTCCTATTGACCTTCTAAGATGTCTTTGGCGTTTGTGGGTTGAGAAGTCTGGAAACCACCACAGCTCCCTGTGATTCAATCTCCCGAGGCCTGTTCCAGGTTTGCTGAGGCCTGGTCTTTGCCTGTGCACCCGTGATGAACTACACTCCTCTCCCAGCCTGGCACAATCAACCATCCAGGTTGTCTTGGGCTGGAAATTTGTTTCACTGTCTTTTTGTGGGTTCTGCTGCTCTAGAATTTGTTTAGAACCATTTTTTACAGCTATTGGGAAGGGTTTGGGGGGAGAGCTTAAGCAAGTCACTGTTTTTACTCTGCCATCTTGGTTCTGTCCCCTTCAACATTCACTTCCACAAGATTTTGAGTTCCACATTTTCTCCGCATATCTCCTCTCCCCCACCCCAAGACAGCATGCATTCTGAATATCCCTTCTCCTAATCTCCTAATCTGCCCTCCCTTCTATCACCCACCCCCCTCTTATCCTCTTCCCCATCTATATTCCTGTAGGGCAGGATAGATTTCTATATCCCATTGCCTGTATGTCTTAATTCCCAGTTGCATGAAAAAACAATTTTTAACATTTGTTTTTAAAACATTGGGTTCCAAATTCTCTCCCTTCCTCCCTCCCCACCCACTCTCACTGAGAAGGCAAGCAACTCAATACAGGTTATACATGTGTAGTCATGCAAAACACTTCCATAATAGTCATGTTGTAAAAAACTAACTCTATTTCCCTTCATCCTATCCCACCCCCCATTTATTCTATTCTCTCCTTTGACCCTGTCCCTCCTCAAAAGCATTTGCTTCTGATTATCCTTTCCCCCAAACTGCTGTCCCTTTTATTGTTCCCCCCTCTCTTATCCCCTTGTTATTCCCTCCTTAAGCCAAATCCAATGAGAAAAAGGTTCACTCATTCCCTCTCACCTTCCCCTGTTTCCTCTCCAGTGTAAAAGCTTCTTTTCTTGTCTGTTTTATGTGAGATAATTTACTCCATTCTACCTCTCCCTTTCTCTTTCTCCCAGTATAATTCTCTCACCCCTTAATTTTATTTTTTTAGATATCACCCCTTCATTTTCAACTCACTCTGTGCCCTCTATCTAGCTATACATATTTTTCCCCTCCAACTACTCTAATACTGAGAAAGGTCTCATGAGTTACAAATATCATCTTTCCATGTAGGAATGTAAACAGTTCAACTTTAATAAGTCCCTTATGATTTCTCTTTCCTGTTTACCTTTTCATGCTTCTCTTGAATCTTGTATTTGAAAGTCAAATTTTCTATTCAGTTCTGGTCTTTTCATCAAGAATGCTTGAAAGTCCTCTATTTCAATAACTATCCATTTTTACCAATGGAAAGATTATACTCAGTTTTGCTGGGTAGGTGATTCTTTGTTGTAATCCTATCTCCTTCCAGAATATTATATTCCATGCCCTCCGGTCCCTTAATGTAGAAGCTGCTAAATCTTGTGTTATTCTGATAGTGTTTCCACAGTACTTGAATTGTTTCTTCTGGCTGCTTGCAATATTTTCTTCTTGACCTGGGAACTCTGGAATTTGGCTATAATATTCCCAAAGAGTTTTCCTTTGGGGATCTCTTTCAGGAGGTTATCGGTGGATTCTTTCCATTTCTATTTTACCCTCTTGTTCTAGAATATCAGGGCAGTTTTCCTTGATAATTTCTTGAAAGATGATGTCTAGGCTCTTTTTTTGATCATGGCTTTCAGGGAGTCCAATAATTTTTAAATTCTCTCTCCTGGATCTATTTTCCAGGTCAGTTGTTTTTCCAGTGAGATATTTCACATTGTGTTCTATTGTTTCATTCTTTTGGTTTTGTTTTATAATTTCTTGATTTCTCATAGAGTCATTAGCTTCCATTTGCTCCACTCTAATTTTTAAGGAAGTATTTTCTTCAGTGAGCTTCTGGACTTCCTTTTCCATTTGGCCAATTCTGCTTTTTTAAGGCATTCTTCTCCTCATTGGCTTTTTGGACCTCTTTTGCCATTTAGGCTAGTCTATTTTTTTAAAAGTGTTATTTTCTTCAGTATTTTTTGGATCTCCTTTAGCAAGCTGTTGACCTTGTTTTTCATGATTTTCTTGCGTCACTCTCACTTCTCTTCCCAGTTTTTCCTCTACTTCTCTTATTTGCTTCTCAAAATCCTTTTTCAAGATCTTCCATGGCCTGGGACTGATTAATATTTTTCTTGGAGGCTTTGGATGTAGGAGCTTTGATTTGTTGTCTTCTTCTGGTTGTATGTTTTGATCTTCTTTGTCACCAAAGTAAGATTCTATGGTTTGACTTTTTTTTTTGTACTGTTTGTTCATGTTCCCAGCCAATTACTTGAGTTATAAACTCTTTGTTAAGGTAGGGGTCTGCTTCCAGTGTGGAGAACCCCAAGCTTCAGGGGTTTTGTGCAGCTGTTTTCAGAGATACTTCTAGGGACCTATACATTTTCAGTTCTTCCAAGGTGATATAATCTAAGGAGAGGTGTTGACTCCTTTCCTGGCCGGGGCTATTGTCTATGAGTGATCACAAGCACTCTTTTCTACCTTGGAACTGTGAGGAGGATTCCTTCTTCACTGCCACTACAAACTCCATCATGCCAACACTCCTCCTTGCCCCCAGACTGCCACTCAGAACTGTGACCCAGTTCCAAGTACTGGCAAAGCAAGAGAATCCTGCCTCAGTGCTAGCAAAGAGATCCCTGAAATCCACCTCTGATCAGCCACTTGATTCCCCCTCAGTCTGTGGGCTGAGAGTTCTGGAAGCAGCCACTGGCCCAGGGCTGTGCCAGAACTGGGGCCAGACTGAGCTCTTCTCTCACTGAGGTGAGACCTTTCCTACTGACTTTCTAAGTTGTCTTTGGCGTTTGTGGGCTGAGAAGTCTGGAAACCACCACAGCTGCCCTTGATTCAATCCCCTGAGGCCTGCTCCAGGTTTGCTGAGGCCTGGTCTTTGCCTGTGTAGCCCATGCTGAACTGTGCTCCTCTCCCAGCCCAGTGCAATAGACCTTTCTGATCAACCATCCAGGTTGTCTTGGGCTGGAAATTTGTTTCACTCTATCTTTCTGTGGGTTCTGCTGCTCTAGAATTTGTTTAGAGCCATTTTTTGTAGGTGTTTCTAGGGGTTTGGGGGAGAGCTCTAGCAAATCACTGCTTTTACTCTGCCATCTTGGCTCTGCCCTAAACTATTATTCTTAACTACCATTTTTCAGCCAAACTCCTAGGAAAAGCCAACACTCCACCTCTTGACTTCAAGCATTTTCTCCAGCCTTTTCCCAGGCCTGGAATGCTCTCCTTCCTTACCTCTGTCTACAGACTCCTTTGGCTTCAAGTTCAAACTAAAATCCCACCTCCTAAGGGAAGTCTTTCTCAACTCCTCTTAATTCTAGTGCTTTCCTTCTCTTCATTATTTTTTTATTTATCCTGCATATAGCTTGTTTGCACATAATTGTTTGCTTGTTGTCTCTCCAATAACACTGTCCCTGAGAGCAGGGACTGACTTTTGCCTTTTTTTGCATCCCTGGTGCTTAACAGTGCCTGGCATACAGTAAGTTCTTAATAAATGTTTATTGACGGACAGACTGAGTCAAACTTTCTTAGTGTCATCAAAAACAAAACAGTTCTACCATCCTTAATCTTTTCTTTAAAGGGAACTAAAATTGCATATTTCATTAACATTATAATTTATATTTTTCCTAACTCTGAAACATGCTTATGCTAAAACCATCTTGTTAAATGCAAAAGAGTAATAGTCCCTATCAAGTTAAAAACCGAGTATTGTTCTTCATAATGTAATCATTAAACAGTGAAGGTAAGGAATACAAATGACTTACGTTGTTTCTTTTCAAAGACTTTATCACTATTTTGTCTTCCCTCATTCTGCTGCTTCTCTTTTTCTAGTTGCTCCTGTTATTGAAACATTATTCATAAAATTAAGACAATACAGGTTAAGCAAATTTTAAAATTTCTGTAATGAAATCTTAAGCTTCAAGATCTTAAGCTTCAACAATGACATTTAATTTCCTATAAATGAATAGCTCATTAGAAGCATAAAACATGTGCTTCCAAATCACATTCAATGATGCCACAAGATTTTCTGAGTTCTTTTTAATTCCTCATGGTAGATGTACCAAAAACAGTAAGTCAACATTTTCTGAAAAGTAAACTCAGAGATTCTCTTTTATCAGCCAAAATAAATAATATATCTGTCTTTCACATTAGTAATGTTTAATTAGGGTATTTCATTTCTATTTAAAAAATTCTCAAAATAATGTTTATGTAGAAAGTAAATGAAATTAATTAAAATAATTTCTTAGTTTTCCATAAAAAGATTTGCATTATGTAGAGAAGAAAGGGTGAGCCATTCAAAGAACTGAATTTTCTCAATAAATGAAGATTGTGTATTTATATTTACACTATTAAAAAACACCTTTAAATGGAAAACTTTCCAAATAGTATAGATTACTGAACTTCTTAAATAGAAAATGGCTTGTCTTTGTAAAGAAAAATATCCACAACCTCTTTTGTTGGCTTTCATGGATATGGAACACAATTGAATGTTTTTTGGATAACTCAGGGTCATCATCAGGATGAGCAGTTACTGGAGTGAGGCACGTAGAGGTTGGGTGGTACAATAGAATGAGCAGTTCTGGAGTTGAGTCAGAAGATGTGGGTTTAATTCCCACATCTCACATTTATTTACTTCATGTCATATATATGACATGTCATATACATGATCTCTAAGTCCCTTCTACTTTTAAATTTATTCTACCATTGTTTTCCATAGGTACACTATGAAGCTATGCTTTATCTAGTGTGAAAACTATGGTGCCATGATTCATTCAGGTTACTGTATAGGGCTGTTTATAGGGGTTTTTTTCTTTTATTTCCACTAGGCTTTTCAACTCTCATGACAAGCAGTTTGAGCCATTATTGTCAAGCAAGCATCTCTGTTTCTAGTCAGTGAATGGACCAAGTAAATAACATCAGGCATAATCTTTGGCTCACTGACTTTTTTTGGCTAAGGTCAGTACTGTTTATTCCACAAAATACTTTTTCTTATTGCCAGCATTTTTTTCAGTTATGTGCCAGATTTCTTGATTTACTACACATGACATTCTACTGCAAAAGTAATTTGGGCACTCAAATTAATGGTTCACCTCTTCATTCACAAGTGGTGTTTCCCACAACCATTTTATTTCTGAAAAGGGGAAGAATCATGTTTCTGTATGCCCCAATTTCTGTTCATAAAAAATGTCCCCTGTTTTCACATTAGAGATATGTAAAAAATGGAAGGAGCCTATCTTTGCATATTCTTAAATAATTCACATTGCTAGAACAAAACAAACTTATTACTGGTCAGTTTTATTTTCGCACCTGCTTACATCCTCCTTGTTGTTACTTTCAAGAAAGTATAAATGGAAAATCTATGTTAACACATGCTCATCAGTTTTGTCTTTGGTGATATCATGGCCTATTTAAAAAGCTTGACTTTAAGTTTCCTCTTTATCAAATGTCATTTTCATTGTCTCTTAGAAATCACTTTTAATGACACATAAAATGTAACAAAATTCCAAACTCTTCAAAAAGTATTTTTTTCTTAACGACAACATCAATAAAACCAAACTGTTGAACTTCTTCATTTTCCTTATGTTAGATGTGCAAGGGATTAGTTGAAGTAAGAGAACCCTTTGTTTGCCTACTCATATTTTAAATTTTCTGTTTTGTATCTAAACTTAACAAAATATTAAGCATCTATTATTTCAAATCACTAAGACTTCTTAATTATTTTACCTTATCGAAGCATAGTCTCATTTGCTTAACCTTATATGTGGGGAAATTTGAATTTAAAAAATAAACATACTAGAACTTACATACTCAAATGAAAGTTATGATCTTCAAAGTTCAAAACCTTAGGAGGCAATCTACATACTTATTCTAGCAACATTGCCTTGAATTATCCTTCAATGTTTAAAAAATATTATTTTGAAGATCATTAATGGTGGCAAATATTCATCTTTTGAGGTTTGAAATTTGATTCTAGACTAAGCCAAAAGTTGTTCATAGTCAAGTCTGGTGGATATAGTAGATGATCAAATCTGATCAAATTTTTTGGTGGGGGATTAGAGGAATCAAAACTGAGAAATGACTATGAAGAAATGAGACTTATTTTCTTGTGTGGCTAATAAAAGGGCTCTAAAAGGTAACTCCAAAAATGAATTTTGACAAAGACAGGTTCACTAGAATACATGCACAGCTTCCCTATGTAACTGCTAAAAGACAGCATTCATTTAGATGAATAAGTTTAGGGATGTTTGTTTGAGAACAATGTTATCATTATTTCATAGTCTTTGATTTAATATATTCTATTTAGTCAATTTTCAACATTTATTGAACGTCTGCGGTGAAAAGCACTAAACCAGGTGGTAATCCTACGTAGCTTAGTTATAGATACTTAAAGCAGGCACTGAAATTATGCTGTAAATAGTAGTCAACATATCAGAACCTTTTTTAATCTGAATGTGGGGTTGGCTATTTCTGAATAGGCTGGGGACTCCCTGACACCAAATTTGACTAGAGGCTTGACCTAGAGCACATTTGGTAGAAAAGAGGTTGGAAATTATTTTTCTAGTCAATTAACCAACAAGCATTTATAAAGTGCTACAATATACAGGCACAGGAAAACAAAGACAAAATGAAACAGTTCTTGCCTTCAAGAAGCTTGCATTCTATTGGGGGAAACAATATCACACACATATCACACACATACCACACACACACACATACACATAAATACAATGCAATTCCAAGGAGTAATTTGTAGGTGGGGGATCAGGAAAGGCCTCATGTAGGAGATGGCACTTGAGCTAAACTTTGAAAGTCGCTAGAGATTCAAAAAGGAGATGGGAGGAGAAGCACATTCTGGGCCTCTGCAAAAGAATGGAGATGGAATGATGCCCTGTATCAATCTAGCCAATCTGATTGCAATGTAGAGTGCATGAAGTGTAGCAAGTATAGTAAGCTTAGAAAAGTCATCTGAAATCAGGTCTTGGAGGGACAAACAGAGGAGTCTGTATTTATCCTAGAGGTTATGGAGATCTACTGGGGCTTTTTGAATAACAGAACAACATGGCCAAACCTGTCCTTTAGGAATACTCCTTTGGTAGCTGCATGGAGGATGGACTGGAGAGGGGCAGGAAGACCGATCAGGAAGATATTACAATAATTTAGGTAAGAGGTCATAAGGGCTTGAACTAAAGTAGTGACTGTATTAGTGGAGAGAGGGGATGAGTGAGAGATATTATAGAGGTAGAATCAAGAAGATGTGGCAAATGAGGGGTGAAGGAGAGGGAAAAATCAAGGATGATTCCAAAGTTCTAAACCTGTGTGACTGGAAGAATGCCAGAAACAAGGAAGTTTTAAAGCTCTGAAAAAGGGTAGTTTTTTGGGGGTGAGGGAGGAAGGGGAGAAAATGAGTTTAGTTTTGGACATCTAGGTGGAGATGTTTCTTAAGTGTGGGTGCCCCCTTGATATATAGATTTGGAATTAATTGCAAAGAGATGATCACTGATGGGTACTGATAAGATCACCAAGAGAGAAAGAGTATATAAAGAGAAGAGAAGAGAAGAGGGCCCAGGAAAGAACCTTGGGATACACATATGGAAATGGTTTATGATCCAGCAAATAAGAATGAAGAGCGATAGGATAAGTAGGAGAATCAAGAGAGAAGAGTGTCACAAACCCCCAAAGAAGACAGAGTACCCTAGTATCCCAACTGAAATAATGTCTCTTTTCACCCTGAGGAAAGAAGGGATACTCATGACTCCTGCCCCAGCCCTTGGTGTAATGTAACATAGAAACACAGAATCACATAGAATTTCTAAGTTGCAAGAGAACTCAGCTGCCAATTAGTACAACTCAGACCCAAAAGGAACAGTCACTATAACAAACCTGATAAGTAGTCATAAAGAATATGCTTGAAGACCTCCAATGAGGGAGAATCCACTTCTTCTCCAAAACAACCCACTCATTTTTCAACACAGCTTCTCCAGGCTAACCTTCCCAGTTCTTTCAGATAAGCCTCATACCACGTGAACTCTTATCATCCCGACTGCCCTCTTCTGGACATTCCCTCCATCTTAACACGTCCTTCTTAAGCTGTGACATCCAGAACTGAACACAATAATCCAGATATGGTCTTGTTACCTTTTTTTTGTTAATTATTTACACTACTGACTCACATTGAGCTTGTAGTCTGCCCAAATCCCCAGCTCTTTTTGAGACATCCTACTGATTATGATGCCTCCATCTTATGTTTGTGAAACTGACTTTTCACAAGCAATGCTTCCCATTCTGGATGTCAACAAATACCTCTTTAGTGATCTGTTTTATAATTTCCCCCGGAACAAAATGCAAGCTCTCTAGCTAGAAAGTAGCTTTCAGGCTTTGTTTACTTTCCTCTTTGGAAAATTAGGACATTTTCCCTTCTCCAGTCATTTTCCATAATCTGTCAAATATCACTGAAAGGCCTTGCTAATCACATTTATCAATTCTTTTAGTACCTGAAGATACAGTTCATCTATAGCAGGTGACCTGAATTCATCAAACGTAACAAGATGCTCTCTTACTATCTCCTTCCTTATCTTGGATTTCAACTCTGTTAACCACTTCGGTTCTGCCATTCCCTGTACAAAGGCCATTTTCCTTGCCCAAGAAAACAGAAGACAAGAATTGAGCAATTCTGCTATCCTTTTCTATTAGCTATGAGCATTCCATCCAGCCCAAACAACAGTCTTATCCTTTCTTCAATCCTGCCCTTTCCTCTAATATGCCTTTAAAAACCTGTTTGGTTGTCATTCTTCACTTTTCTTGTGAGCCTCCGCTCCTTCTGAGCATTAGTACTTCCAACACGGTTGTGACAAGCTCTTATATTTGTCCCTTGTTACTTGTCCTTGTTTCCATCCTCTGTACGTATAGCCTATAAAACCTCAGCTGGCTAATAAAGTCGTTGGGTATCCACATTGGTCTCCAGACAATTTTCACTTTTCTGACTCAATGGAATAGTATCTCTTTGTATTTTTAGAAGTTTGTTCTTGAAAGGCTATTATTCTTTATAGACTGATTTCCACGAATTCATACCCAGCCTTCTTGAATCCTTTGAAATATGCTCTCCTAAAATTTAGGGTGCATGTCATACTTTGGCTTTCTATTTCTTTCTACATCACAAAATCTAGGAGAGACAGTCATTTCTTTTCAATTTCCCATCATCTGCATCCCAGCTACCTATTTCTCCCTATTAGTGAGAAGCAGATCCAGCATGGCATATTCCTTTATTAATTTCTCTGTCCTGTAAAGGATGACATTATCATTAAGGCATGTGAAGAAGATTTTGTAGCTGCTTTGCTTCTGGGAGACAGAAAACTCTAACAAGATGTCTGATGACAAAATCACTTTTAATACCCTCCATTGGTTTTTTACTCTGCTACTTACCACCATGCTCCCTCTACTTCTTGTTTCTGTTTTTTTTTCTTTTTTTTTTTTATTTGGTTAGGCAATGGGGTTAAGTGACTTGCCCAGGGTCACACAGCTAGTAAGTGTTATGTGTCTGAGGCTGGATTTGAACTCAGGCCCTCCTGAATCCAGGGCCAGTACTCTATCTACCTAGCTGCCCCCACTTCTTGTTTCTGAACTTCTTCCCATGAATGTGTTTTTAACTATAAAATGCTATTTCTCCCCGCCCCCATCCCTTTCACATGTCTTCTTTCTTTTGAATAAAGTATATCTTTCTAGAGCCACACGTATTCCAGTGACAGATCTCATCCTACTAAGTCTCAGGGATACTCATGAGGTCAAACTTGTTTCCTTGCACTAGGACCGCTAGTTCCTCTTGCCTATTGCCTAGACTTTAATAACCACAATAATGAACACTTACATGTTGTTTTAAGATTTGCAAAGTGATTTACATACATTATTTCATATGATCCACATAACAACCCTATGAAGGAGAAGTGATTATTATCTCCATTTTTCAGATAAGGAAGCATTTCAGTACAGACACAGTACACTCACAGGATTTACTACTGGGTCCCTTTTGGGATTTTTGTCTTCTGTGACCCTCTGCTACTCTTCTTTCTCCTTCATTGTAGTTACCTTCTACATTATCTATGTTGGTACATATAACTACTAATCAATTCTCTTCCTCCTATTCATTTTAGTTCGAGGCCCTTTTGATTAGATTTGCAATATGCCCAGCAAGTGCATTCTTATGAGGTTTTGTTAGATGCATTCCCTTTCTGGCCAGCAGCCTGTCATCCCTCTACGCAAAGCCATGGTCCACAAGTCCCAGTCCTTATCCTGTGTAACTCTAGGAGGTTACCTCACGTCCATGAACCTATTTCCTCCTCTTCAAAATGGCAGAATGGGTGAGATGGCCCCCAAGGCCCCTTCTAGCTCCAGATCTAGCAGACAAGGATACTAGTCTCAGACTCGACACTTCCCAAATCAGTCTTTTTTTCTAAATTCCTTATCTTCAGGGGACAACAGTGAGGAAAATGCAAACTGTGCCCCATTTTGGTCTTTAGTTTCCTGCCTAAGATTTTGTAATCTTTAGCAAAACTTTTTAGGCTCCTTCAGCGTTATCATGTATGCCCTGCTGAATCACCAAAAGGGGAATAGGTCTTTGGAGGTTTGCTTAGCTTTTAGATACACTCCTTTTCACTGCTGATATCAAGTGGACGAATTATTCAGTAACCCTCTGAAGAGGAAGTCATCAACCACCACTTTTCCTCTTCTTCCTCTGACCTTTCCGAGATGATTTCTTCCCTGATGCCATATGAGGTTCTCCTACACCATTCCTTGGGGAGAAGCAGCTGCTTCTTTCTCAGAACATCTAGTTCCCCTCTCTTCAGGAAAAGCCTCAAATCTATCTGTCAGCTCTATGTGTACAGCTATCCTTCTCTTTCTGTTCCACATCTGGGTGACATTTTTCCACTTTCCAACCTCCTGACATGGGTCAAATCTCCCCAGCTCCACCCTCACATTCATTTTTTTTTTCCTGTGGAAGCCCAGCTTCTGTTTCATTTAAGAACAGTCCATTTTCTGTAACAACGTGGAGTATAAAGATGTGTTCCTTGAGTTCTTTTCACCTTCTCTTTGAGGGAATTAGGACTGCAAGTAGTTAATGTGGGAAATAAACCATACCAACTTCATCTTGTGACTCAATTCTAGAGCTACCTCAGTTCCCTTTCTATTCAATTATGGGTCTAGTCCAATTTCTGTCTTGTGAGAAAATTTTATTCAATTGTGGGAATTGGGAAAAAGCCTTATTGCATTGTTTGAATCTAGCTCTGTGTGGCTGGGAAAAGGGACCACCCCTACCTGCTGCTTAGAGACCCTTAACTAAGGACCTAGCTTATGCTGACCAGAACCCCAGTCAGATCCAAAGACTGATGCCAGGAGTTTTCTCACAACTGTACATCTCAAGCAACCCATATGTCTTATCTGAAAACTGGCCTTGTACCGATCAATCAATTATTGTTTCCATGTTCCTCTGATTGTTCACAGACACTTGGGAGGACGGGGGCGGGGTAGGATACCTTCTTTTCTGATTTCAGAGAATTTCATCTGTTCACACCTTCCCAATTTGGAAAAGCCCTTAATCTTTCCTTCAGTTAGAAATCAGATTACCTAATGTTGTATCCTGATTGTTTCCCTTTAATTAATTGCCCTTATTTGATTGTTTTAAACGTACAGAAGACCTCCATGTAGCGTCTGGTCTCCATATGGAGTCTCCATGTATAGAAGTCTGTCTTCCTCTGTAATTCGGGGTCCAGGCCAAAGCTGAGGAGTCCCAGCCCTGCTTTGCTGGGCAGTTGTCATGCGTTGCTTAATAAATCGATATGCTCAGAAGATCAAGCCTTTGTTTTCTCAGTCATTTCATCTTTCACCTGCCACCTCTTCCCTTAGGAAGACCAGTCTACAGCCTCAGAAACACAGATATTAGTCACATCATCTATGATCCAGGGACCTTAAGTTGCTATAAAGAAATGTGATTCCAAATAGAATGAGTAAGAATTTAAATCATCATTTCTAAAAAGGTCAAAAAATATTTTTTGAAAGCAGCATGGTGTAGTGGATGGGAGAGCTAGTGTTGCAACTAGGAAGACCTAGGTTCAAGTCCAGCTTCTGACATGTACTGGCTGTGTGACACTTGGCAAAACAAGTCATCTCACAACCCCCTAAGACTTAAGTCGAAGAGAAAGTGCCAACTTTCATTGATCGAAGGAGTTTATTCACCTAGGGGTTCCCTAAGCCAATGAAATTGCAGGTCTAGGTCCTTTCCCAGCCCTTATATGAAAGGCCCTATGTTAGGCACTGAGGACAGGACAAAGATGTTTAAGACCTAGGAGCTATGCATCACAAACTGACAACTCAACGGGAGGAAAATGCCATGTACACACATCACTACTAGACTGGCTAAACAAAAACCAAACCCTTAAACCCTAGATCTCTTTTAAAGAAAAGAATGGGTGAACGCTGAAAGATGATGATTATAGGATATGCTGAGGTTTTTACACAAGTCATCGCTGAAGAAAAATCATGGTTTATTTCTGGACAAATACGTAAAATAAAAACGCCATAAAAGCACACAAGAGGAGCAAAATGCTATGAGAACTCACAGGAAGGAGAGATTGCTTTTGTCTGGGTTTAACAAAGAAGGCTACGAGAGAGATGATATCTGAACCGGGGCTTGGAGGACAATGTTATTTCAACTAACAGAGTTGGGGAGAGGCAAGGTAACGGCATGAGCAAAGAAAAGGAGCCAGGAGAGTGATAAGGCCTGCTTGGGAAAGCAGTGGTTAAAGTCTAGCCACTAGGGCACCTGAAGGAAAGGAGCATTGAGGCCAGAAAGGGGGGTTGGGGGGAGACTATGGAGGCCCTTTGTTAACAGGCTAAAAAACATGATTTTATTTGATAGGAAATGGACCATCATTGACCACAGGAGATGATGTGATCAGCTTTATGTATGTGCTAAAAAAAAGTTTAATGCAATAGCAGGGTATAAGACAAATGGATCCCTCCAGGTGAGGAGGTCACACCCTCAAGGCAAATTTTGCTGTGGTTTTGGAAAGAAATGATTTTTTTCTCTTCCATACCAGCTAACAGCATGACAGCGAGGGCATTAAGACAAGAAGGGGGATATTTCTTTGGTCTAGAAATCTCCTCAATACCACAGAAAACACAAAATAAAAACAAAATTCCCTTAAAGTAGGAATTCCCCAAGGCTTTTGTGCTCTTTCCTTCCCCCAAATTCAATGAAGACAATCAGAGGAGGATAGGTATCCTTCTAATTCATGAAAGGCTATAATAAAAAGCATCAGATCTTCTGTTTAATCTTTTAAGAAAAATATAGATGGAAAAGACCACTGAGGAGATTCTCATTAAGTTTGGTCCTAAATGTATAGTTGTCATCTGTTGGAGAAGCTTCTCCCATGCTTCTACACAATAAAAGCACTGGAAAAAACCAAACCAAAACAAAACCTACCATTTCCAAAAGAAGGAGTTCTTCTCTTTCTTTCTCCTGATCCAATGAATCTTTTTCGTAAAACCTTTTCTGAAACTGTTTAAAGTTTAAAATGAAATTATGAAACATTAATAATGAGCTTACCACAAATGTTAAATATTCCTTTCAAAGTGAATAGTCTACTTACAGCATCCATAGACATTTCCATTCTGTCCAACTCTAACACAGTCTATTAAAAGAGTTAAAATCTTGGTTATTATTTTTTTTCCAAAACATTAGTTCAATTAAATCAGTCAACTATTTCTTAAAAATATATAGGGAGGAAAACTTGAAGAAAAAAACCTACACTATGGTAAGCTAGAGCAGAGGACCTTGAGCAGATCTCTCTAATTCTAAGCTGGAAAATTCTATGAAATCAGAGTAGCATATGTTAGTACTAAATACCATTTAACATACTATTAACCTAGAGGAGAACAATGCAATGTAATTATGATATAAATATAATAATTAATAATAATGGCTAGCATTTATGTGTTGCGTTAAGGTTTGCAAAGCACTTTGCATAAGTTATCTCATTTGAGTCTCACAACAATTCTGTGAGGTAGGTGCTTGTTTTATAGATAAGGAAATTAAGGCTGGGAGGGGTTAAGTGACTTGCCCAGGGTCACAAAGCTAATAAATGTCTGAAGTAGGACTTGACCTCAGGTTTTCTTTCCACCTTGTCTAGCATTCTTATCCACTGTGCCATCTAGTTGCCTCACTAACTCATACCTATCCTTAATCATATTTTCCTTAGTACTTTGTGCCTATCCTTTATACTGATTTTGCTCTTCATAAGTGTATTCACCTTAGCTGAGTTCTATTAATTCTCAAGACCAAAATAGTCTGAATTTTAATAAACCAGTATAGTGACAATTAAGCTTGCATCTTATGGCTACATAAGCCAATCTGTATTGTGTTCTTTTATCTAAAATATATTTCTTCTGCCTTTTTTTTACATTAAACGTTTATGACAAACTAACAAGGATGCTAAGACAGTGGTGGACGTGACCAGTTCTAAGGCTTTGGTCTAGAACTTTCTTCTTACTATGTCAGAATTTTACTTGACTGAAACAAAATATAATAAATATTACATTATGAAAGACCAATAGTTTAGCTAGTGCAGAATTCTGCCTCTGACAGTCAGTCAATAAGCATATATGAAGTGCTTACTATGCGTCAGGGATTGTGTTAAGCACCGTACACATGAAGAAAGACAAAAACTGGGTCCCTCTCCTCCACGAGCTCACACTATAAAGGGGAGACAACATGTATATAACTAGGCAAATACAAAACATGCAGAGGAGATGGACAGTAATCTCAAGGGGAAAGGGCTTAGCAGCTGGAGGGACTAGGAATGGCCTCCTGAAGAAGGCAGGCCTTGAACAGAGTTTTGAAAGAAGCCAAGGAAACCACGAGGTGGAAGTGAGGAGGCAGACTATCCCAGGCATGGGCACATACAGTAAAAGGTACAGAGACCAGAGACGGAATGTTGTGACCGAGGAGCCCCAAGTAGGACAGAAGAGCTAGACTGCAGAGTGCAGGAAGGACTGAAGTATCAGAAGACTAGAAAAGTAGGAAGGGATCAGGTTATGAACAGCTTTAAATGCCAGAGGACTTTAACAATGAGCATAAGGATAGAAGGAAGCTCACTGGATTAAGCAACAAAGAGCAAGCTATTTAGCAGTGCGGTAGAAACAGAAACATACTATAATGACGGGCTGATGAGGAGAGTGATGCAGTGAATGCAGACTGTCTTGAGGAGAGTTGAGTTGAGTTCACGCTAGATGACTTCAAAGCTTTTAGTAAGTGGAAGAGTAACGAATAGGGGAAGACTTGGTCCTTGCTTGAGGAATAGACTAGGCTAGTCTTCCTTTAAAATGTATTAAAACTATCCTCAAGACTTTACTGGCCCAGAATTCGAAAGCTTGAACCACTGCCATATCTTCCTGGGGTCCTAAGTGCATAAGCTAGCATGACTTCCGAAGAGTCAGGAGCTCCTCCCTCATGCTTCTGAGTGGAAGACCAACATGGCTAACATAGAAGCAGGGAAACTGTATTCTTTCTTAATATTCCTTCCCTGTTATGGCTAAAGCAGACCTCCTTTTGTTAAATATTACATGTCTTCTTTGGGTCTCATTTCATTCTAATTCCAAACCTGAAGCACTAGACCAGTCTAAGTCAGGTCTGGCCCCTACCTAACAAAGACAAAAGGGAAAGTTTGTAGCAGTTGTTTTAGAAATAATGGAATCGGTCAATAAGCATTCATTAAATACCTAACATGTGCCAAGCACCATGCTAAGTGCTGGGGATACAAAGAAAGGTAAAATACAGTCCTTGCTCTTGAAGAGTTCTGAGTCTAATGGGGGAGACCACAGGGAAACACCCCCATGCAAAGAACCAACAGGACAAACAACAGAGGGAAGGCATTAGCATTAAGGGGGACTGTGAAGAGATTCTTGTAGATGGGGGATTTCAGCTACAAAGGTAAAACTGATAGCTTTTGGTAACAGATTACACAAAGGGGCAGCTAGGTGGCACAGTAGATAGAGCACCTGCCCTGGAGTCAGGAGAACCTGAGTTCAAATCCGGCCTCAGATATTTGACACATACTAGCTGTGTGGCCCTGGGCAAGTCACTTAACCCCATTGCTTAGCAAAAAGCAAAAATCAACAAAAAAAAAAAAGGAAAGGGGGAAGCTAGGTGACACAGTGGATAGAGCACTGGCCCTGGAGTCAGGAGAACTTGAGTTCTAATCCGGCCTCAGACACATAACACTCACTAGCTACATGACTCTGGGCAAATCACTTAACCTTAACTGCTTCACCAAAAAAAAAAAAATCCAGAAATAGATTGCACAAGGTGAAGGGGTGTGTGTGTGTGTGTGTGTGTGTGTGTGTGTGTGTGTGTGGTGGGGGAGATGTTAGAGACAATAAGGAGTCCAGGATGACATCTTGGTTGTCAGTCTAGGTGACTGGGAGGATAGTAGTACCCTCAAAGTAATAGGAAAGTTAGGAAAAGGGGGAATGAAAGGTTGGGGCAGGGGGAAGATGATGAGTGCAGTTTTATAAGTGCTGTGTTAAAATGTCTACAGGACAACGGAACCACGGCGCAGAGGCAGCCGCGGCATGAGGAAGGCAGGACCGCAAAGGACCCAGAGGCCAGTGCCATCATGAGTCTCCTAAACAAGCCCAAGAGTGAGATGACCCCTGAGGAGCTGCAGAAGCGGGAAGAGGAGGAGTTCAACACCGGGCCGTGGCGGTGCGCACTCAGTCGGTGAAGAACAACACCCAGGTTCTTATCAATTGCTGGAACAAGAAGAAACTTCTGGGCCGAGTGAAGGCCTTTGACAGGCACTGCAACATGGTCTTGGAGAACGTGAAGGAGATGTGGACGGAGGTACCCAAAAGGGGCAAAGGCAAGAAAAAGTCAGAACCAGGGAACAAAGATCGTTACATTTCCAAGATGCTCCCGAGGAGGGATTCAGTCATCGTGGTCCTCAGGAATCCACTCATTGCTGGCAAGTAGCGGAGCCAGAGCCTCCCCTTCCCACCCCCACACTTGGCTCAACCCAATAAGGCTGAGGGGTCCACTCCTTTTACCTTTTGTGAATAAAACCTTGTTGTTTTTGCAAAAAAATAATGTCTATAGGACATCTAGCTTGAGAAGTCTAATAGGCATCTGGAGATGCAAGACTGCAATTAGCAGAGAGGTAAAGGTTGGATAAGTAATTTGAGAATTGCCAGTAGAGAGATGGTAAATGAATCTATGGGGGCTGATAAGATCACCAAGGGAAATAACAGAGGGAGAAGAGAAGGGACTTCAGGAGAGAGTCCTGTGCGATATCCATGGTTAGCAGGAGTGACTTGGATGACGCAAGAGCACAGGAATCTCAGAAGGACTGTTCAGACTAGTAGGAGGAGAACCAGGAGAGGGCAGCGTAATGAAAACCTCGAGAGAAAAGCATATCAAGGAGGAGGGGGTAACTGATGGTGTTGGAGGCCGCAGATATCAAGAACCATAAGACAGAAATAAAACGTTTATTGTACTGCAGTTAAGGGCCCAGTTGAAATTGGAAAGCATAAGAAAATTGTTTCTACCAAAGTCCTTGGCATATTCAAATGGCTCAACATCAGAAAATACTACAATTTTATCAAGGGAAATATATTGAAGAAGAGTCATCGCTATCTGCTTTGCCGCAGTACAATAAGGACCGTGAGACCTTTTTCATTTGACTTGCAGCTGAGACCTTGCATATGTGGTGTCTCCCCATTAGCATGAGAGCTCCTCGAGAGCAGGAATTGTTTTATTTGTGTCCTCAGTGTTTTGCACATAGTAAGCACTCAAAAAATGATTTTTTTCATTCATTCCTTCATACATTTTTGTTAGACCCCTACAGTGTCTGGCCACTTACAAGCAGGAACAGAGAAGGGTGACAAGATGAGCGATCCTGACTTGAAGGTTAGTAGCAGAAAGTCAGATGGGAGGGTTGGGGAACGGGCAACACAAAAAGAGAAGAGAAGGCAGTACAGAAATGGCTGACCAGGGTGTCGAAACGGAATAGGGAGGAAAGAAAGACCACACCAGGGCTGAGAACCTAGAAGAAAAGAGGAAGAGCCAAGGGACTGATGTGAGAGGAATAAGGGACAGGAAGAAGTCAGGACAAGAGACTGTGGTAAAAAGGGACATTTTCAGATTTTAAACATGGAAGAGTTTTATGTGATGGTGAGTTTTAAAGTATGATGTCCTCTTTGACATCGTTCTTAAGATTAAGATTGTTCATGGGATATCAGTAATAGACCTTTGATAACCTATTATGGGGCCACCATCCAAAAGTTTATTAAATCTTGATTAAACCTGTTTGTATTTTTGGCTTATACAATCTCTTCAAGATAATAAATATTTTCACTGCAGGAACTAACTCCCACGTTCAAATAGAAGGTCCTAGATAATTCTGTAGCCATTTATCATCAAACATCTGTAATAAACTGAGATTAGATATTCTGGTGATAGTAAAAAACTTTTTAAAGTTTCTATTTAGGTACACATAGAGCTGCTTGAAAGTTTTATAGTTATTTTAAAAGAATTTACATTTCAACAAATTAAAATTATAAATCAAAAATAAATCAAGTGTGGGCAAGTCAACTGATATCAAAAAGGCCAAATTTTGAACTAGGGGAAAAGAGATATACTGAGAGACTGGTATGAAAACTTGCAATTTACTGGCAATCCTTATAAAAATGGTTCCCACAGTTTGGAGGATCCCATTATCAAATGCCTTAAGGGCTGTCAACATTGTATAAAAGCAATTTCCTCTGTTATTGCAGGGGGGCAGAACAGTTTTTCCCAGCTCTAAATCCAATGTCAGTATCAGTCAATAAACTTAAAACAATATACCATGCAAATGAATGGTAAGAAACCAACTATATTTCTTTGTATTCCAAATAAAATTCACAAAAATAGGTTTGCTGTGACTTTGTAAAATTATTAATTCTAAATATTCAAGTGATCCAAAATTATTTGAAGCTTAAATAAAATTATACTCTACCTCATCTCCTTATCTTCCTGTACATGCAATTAAGAGAATTCTTTAGAAGCAATATATATGAAAACAGGAAGGAGTGTGGCACAGCAGAATGGGCATTGAATTGGGAGTAAAGAGACCTGGATCTAGTTGCTTGGCTCTGTCACTAACTAAACTGTATACTTTGGCAGGTCATTTAACCATTTTTGGCTTCAATTTCTTTATTTGTAAAATGATAGGGTGGCCTAGATCTTTAAGGACCCTTCCAGCTTCAATGTTCTATAAAATATATACCAATTTCATGAACAAAGGCTTTTGTTCACTTGAATTAAAAGATGTTTTATTTTGAAGTCTTAGTCAGCTATGTCCACCCACTAAGTCAGTTTATATCCAGAAATTTCAATTCCTTTAGATCACATCCAAAAAGAACTACATATGCTCATGTAGGATGTTTTCCAATTCCTATTCTTAAAATAAAGGATTTAGATGAGTTTTCTAATCCCAAGAGCCAGAAGAGTAAAGTAATGATCATCATTATTTTACCTTCCTGAGAAGTTTGGTGCCCTGGAGATAAAGAGCTGACCTCAAGGTTAGGAACACATAGGTTCAAATCCCTCTTCTAACACACCCTTGCTCTGCGACCGCAGGGAAATCACAAAACCTCTCAGGCCCCGTCATGTCCCCAGTTACTGAAAGAGTCATGAACATAACTTTGTGAAGATTATACTTACTCGTTTTACAATAGCCAGAACATCTTTATCTTTTTCTTGACAGAGGAGTTTTCTTACACACAATTCTAACTGCTGAAGTAAATGCTTGTCCGCAGGAATCTTCAGAGTAGATTTCACTTTGGGCAAAAGGTAGCAGAGTTTCATTCTATAGAAAAGAGGAATAGCACTTAAGCTCTGGTGCATAGCCATTCCTGATTGTAATAAAAAATAACTATAAACTGGTTTGCTTAAAGAATTCTCATAGATATCTTAAACACAAGGAGGTTTAAAATTTCTCTGATTTCCTCCATAATTCTTTTTCTCACATTTTCACACAAAGCAGCCAGACTGCCAACTTTTTGCTGACAAAGGTACAAAAATGTCAGAGTGCTTTTAGAGTTGCTTGAAGTCTATGTTAACCATACTTAAAAGAGATGCAAAATTCACCAAAAGGCAGTGCTGCCAGCATATGAAAGCCCTTTGCTCTTGGCAAGAGGACACAGCTGGGTCAAATCTCTCTACTATCGTTTTTCAGAAATCTAAATAGCTAGTGGGGAACACTGGGCACAGAGCCTAGTAGAAATTCAACTGAACAAGCTTTTATTATATGGAGAAAGTAAATGTCTAACAGAATGTATGAGTTTGAAATTCCTTTCAACCATTACTCCCTCCTAATAAATATTAAGAAATGACATACTGGAGCAGCTAGATGGCACAATGGATAGAACACCAGCCCAGGAGCCTGGAGGATCTGAGTTCAAATCTGACTCAGACATTTAATGGCTGTGTGACCCTGGGCAAGTCACATTGCCTTCAAAAAAAAAAAAGAAACAATATACTGATTTTTAAATATGTTTATGTTTACCTTACTTTAGCTATCTTCCTATTTTCAGGCATGTTCCATTTAAACCTCAATATCTTATCTAATGGAATCAGCAAATATTCATCAATTATGTCAAGGTAACTGAATGTAAGAAAACATAAGAAATGAAATTTCAAAGCAGGCTCCTTGTTTTGTACCACAAATGAGGGAGAAAAACTTGACAGGTGTCAACCACAGAGTTTTGAAGCAGCTGTCTTTCTCCTTTACAATTTCAGTAGAGAGACCACAACAGGACAGAGGGCTATAACTGCATCAAACTCAACCCTTTTCTGCGGCCACTCTGCTGAACCAAGGGGCAAGAAAAAGCTATACATCCAGCTTAGACAAAGTGCTATCTTTCTCCTACTGGCCTACAAATTTGGGGCAATGTCAGAATACATTTCCAAATGCTAATGACACTTACCAGTTAAGACCAATGATTTCATTAAGACAATGACCAGTTAAGACAAACGATTTCAGAACACAATAATCTCCTCCCTTAATGTAGAAGAGTTGCTCTGGAACCAACTTAAGAGATGCCTAGGAAATTGATTTATCGCACAATATTTCACTGGATTGGTGCCATACCTCACATTCGCTACTGGGTCATGTGTCAACTCAAGAGCAGGTAGAAAGAAATATTTACAGAAAAATGATTTGGAAAAGAGCTCAATAATAAATTCACAGGTGTCCAAAAACCGAAGTCTATACCAGTAGCTTTTTCCTTGGCCCAGTTCTGAAAAAAAAGTAAAAATTATGATGAACTCAATTTTCTATTTTCTTTTCTTTTTTTTTTTTGTTTTTGCTAGGTAATTGGGGTTAAGTGACTTGCCCTAGGTCACACAGCTAGTAAGTGTCAAGTGCCTGAGGCCAGATTTGAACTCAGGTCCTCCTGACTCTAAGGCTGGAGCTCTACCCACTACGCCACCTAGCTACCCCCAATTCTCTATTTTCAATAACATATCCCAAATGGAACCGCATGGGACAAAGAGGAAAGCAATGCAAAAAATTCAGAGAGTGTTAATCATACCCATGGTAGTTCAGTGAATAGAGTGCTGGATCTAGAATTAGGAAAACCTGAGTTTAAATGCAGCTTCAAAAACTTACTAGCTCTGTGACCCTGGACAAGTCATTTAACCTGTTTGTCTCAGTATTTTCACCTATAAAATGAGGACAAAAATAGAATCTATCTCCAAATGTTATTGTGAGGATAAAATCAATTTTAAAAAATGCTTTGTAAACCTTAATGAGCTATAAAAATGATAGCTACTATTATTATTTTAATTTACTTGAATTATAAAATTTTGAATTTGTAGGAAAATTATAATTTGTAGGTAAATAGTAAAGCTAGACTATAAATAAATAAAATAACCTAGCTATTACATCCCTAGTTTATAGATCCTAAATAAATATACACATAAATCAAATGAAATAATGTATGAATGAAATCAAAGTGTTTTTGACAGTATAAAGTCCTATACAAACATAAAGGACTTATAATTTCTTATAAAAAATGAACAAAAAATGTTTTAAATAAATCAGTTCAAAATTTAAGTGACAATTTTTACCTCTAAAAAAGCATCAAAATAAGACCATCTATCATATTAAGTACTTAAATCAAAGCTGAATGTCTTTTGAAAATAAATTTGAGACTGTCACTGATTACATCAAATGGATAAATCAAAGAAAGCCTAATTATATTTAGCACAATTTTGTGTATTCTAATTTGAAGACAGTCAGTATGGCAGAGGAGATGGAGAACCAGATTAAGTACCAGGAAGATCTATCTGACACATATGGGCTGGGCAACCCTGGGTAAGTCACTCAGCCTCTCAATGTGCCAAGCCAAAGGGGTCAAGCATGCCCACCTACCCCCGTTCCTGCACAGGTCACCCATAGCCTACACACAACACTCTCTAAAGTAGCCAAGGCAGATTAAAAGATAATTGGTAAGTACTTAACAAGATAGATAAAACTACAAAAATTATATTTTAATATTATATTTTAAATTATTATTACATTTTACATTTTAATATTACATTTTAAAACTAAGTTGGTGCGTGGCCCACAGGGAGCCATATATATAGACAGTTTTGAGAGTCAGACACCCGTGCTCTAGACGACTTGCCAAAACGATGAGATTGTAGAGAAGGTGCTAACCTGAACTGGGAATGGGAGTTGACTACAGCAATGAAATCAAAGGCCCAGCCTCTATCTCTATTATACTTTGAAAACTGGCAAAGCTGATCTCAGAAGCTATCTAGACCTTTCCCCCCTCATTTTAGAGATGAGAGGTTCAGTGATGTTAAGTCACTTGTCGTCCAAGGTCACACATGAGGGGTGACAGAGGCAATATTTGAAGCCAGGGCCTTTGACTCCAAAGAAAGCACGTTTTCCACTACTGCACTAAGGTTCTATTATCCACAATATTTGGTGAATTAAAAATCTTTTTTCCTTCCCATTTTGGACAACAGAGTATTCAATGTATATTTTAAATCTGAAGAATGGATGTTGGTTTGTGTTTTAAGTGAGGAAAAACAATAAGCAAATTTATAATTAGGCATAGTAGAAAGGACAGACTGAGTCAAGAAGACAAATTTTAGTTCCAGCTCTGCTATTAAGTAATAATATATACAAGTAAAGCATTTAAACTTTGTGAGCTTCCATTTCCTTATCCATAAATACAGGGGTTAGGTCATCTCTAAGCTCCTCCTAGTTCTCAGACCTGATTCTGTTGCATTTCTGAGGTTAGTCTCTTCCATTGCCACAGTTATACTTAAGTATTTCAATGGATCTGTGACCTCACTGATATTGGCCCTCTCTTCCTCTACGTGCCCTGCACTCACAGGTTGATGTTTTGGCTTTGGGTCTACCTGCAACCCTTCTAAGTCGTGTGGAGATTCACCGGGAGGGTCACAACTGAATCTAGCTGTCACAGTGGATAGAGTGCTGGGCCTGGAGTCAGTAAGACTCATCTTCCTAAGTTCAAATCTGGCCTCTGACACTTATAAACTGTGTGACCCTAGACAAGTCACTTAATCCTGTTGGCCTCAGTTTCCTCATCTGTCAAATGAGCTGGAGAAGGAAATAGCAAATCACTGCAGTATTTTTTTATTTATTTTTATTTTTATTTATTTTATTTATCAAGAAAACCCCAAAATGGTGATACATCAAAAGGGCCAGTTTCCTAACCCTGCCTACTCTACCAATAACCTGTTAGGTGAACAACCTGAATATTTTGTTATAATTCATGTGAATTAATTCAGAACTATAGTCAGTTTTTAAAATTCAATTTTATTCTATTTTGAATTATAGCCACTTATGAGTTCTCTTTGAATCAGGCATAAAAATTATTCCCCTTTAAAATTATTACCAATGGGAAAAAAGACTAGATACCCAGATATTCTAATTCTGTGCAATTCTTACCCATCCTCTTCCATAAGTCCTCCATTTGGAATACACCCAATCTGATACAGGCTATCTATCCTCTTTGGTCTTTAAAAATTCCATGGGGAAAAAAAATTTAAAAAAATAAAAAATAAAAATTCCATGGGACCAGTGCAGCTTAACATTTATTGATCCTTGCTCTCAGGTGTGAGCAGCCACCTACTTTTCTATCAGGCAAGGTGGAATTAATGGATTCAAACCAAAAGATAGTATTTACCAATTGTTCTGCTGAATAGTGATCTTTCTGCCAGAAAGTTTTCTAAACAGAAATGAATTACAGAATCAAAAGCATAGAAAGGCCCTCAGAAGCCGACTAGGCCAACTATACTTGTTAAGAATTCCCTCTAAAATGTCATTAAAGAGTCATCATCCAGTCTCCGTTGGGAGATCTTCAGTAAGAGGAGGCCCTCACCTCCTCCTATGGCAGTTTATTACACTTTCTGGACAGTTCTAGTATGAATTTTTTCCTTAAACTGAACCTAAATATGCCTCCCAACAAATTCTGTTTTCCAAGGCCAAGAACAAATCTAATCACTCATCCACAGGATACTCATTCAAATACCTTGAGACTGTTATCATGCCTCCTCTTCCCTCCCCTCACTTCCCATCTTCTTTTCAGGATAAATATCTCTACTTCTTACAACTTATCCTCACCTAGCAGAGTTTACAATCTTTTCATCATACAGACCACACTCTTCTGTATGTATTCTCATTTGTTTGTGCCTTTCCCTCTTTGAATAATGCAATGTCTCATTGTACGTAAATGTGACGTTGAAAGATCAGATGACCAAAAAACCCCCAAAACTCAAAGGAAAAAAAAATGCCCATATGAATGAATGTATACATATCAGAGACAACATTTTGGACGATTTTTTTTGCTACTTCTTGTATACGAATCACCACAGGCAACTTGCTGCAGCCTATCCACACTTACGAGGTATCTTTTCATTACCTTTTGTATCAACAAGAATTTTGATTTTTTTCAGAAGGCGATGTCCCATGATTTTCAGGCATAAAACATCACCGGATTATTATGTTAAAAAGATGGATTTTTTTGTCGGGAAACTTTTTTGGACAATAAAAGTGAAGCATGTTTCCCAAATGCAATATAGCTTATTCTCTTCTCTGATTCAATGCCGAGCTAAGCTTCATTACTAATGCCTGTCAAAGTTATACAGTACTGATGGACTAACTCCATGCTATTTTCCCTCGTGCCTACCTGAATGTTGACATCATTAAGTGTCAATGTATATGTAATTTGGTTTGAAGGATCTTGTCAGGTTTGCCATATAATTTTACAGCACTGCAACAAATACAGTATCTTTATGGTGTTCTTTTTTGTGTAAGAGCACGGAAGGTGAGATGATCAACTATAACTGAAATAATGTTTCTTCTTTCTTTTGGATGCACTAGGAAATCAACTCCACAAATTCCTTTATTTACCTTTTTCCAAGGTAAATATGTGGGGCATCATTCCATTTCTGCAACTTCCTTTTGTTTTCTGGTTTCATACTATACTGAATTCAATTTATTGAACATTTATCAAGTACCTACTATGTACAAGGCAAAGTGTTTTGATGCTAGATATAGTAGCTGAACTCAAGGAGCTTACATTCTACTAAGTGAGCACAGCATGCACACATACACATCAAAACATAATATTTTGAGAAGACAGCACTGATAACTAAGGAAAAAAGAAAAGGCTTTGAGTAGAAGGTATTTCTAAAGCTGTACCTGGAGGCATGAAGATATAGACTCTGAAAGGAAGAGGTAAGAAAGGAGCACATTTGAAGGACAGGGGATAGCATCAGAGAATTTAGAGGTAGAAGCAGTCTCAGCAACTATTTAGTCAAACCCATGCACAAAAGGAATCCTCTCAGTAACAAACTTGACAAGTGGTCATTGAATCTCTGACTGAAGACCCCAATTAAAGGGAACCTATTAAAGTAGTCCATTCCATTTTTGGACAGCTCTAACTGGTAGTAAAGTTTTACTGACATCAAGTCTAGATCTGTCTCTATGAATTCCACCTATTATACATATCTGTCTCTATAACTTCCACTTCAAAACAGGCTTTGAGTTCTGACAACTATAATTGTTGTATTTTCCTGATCTATTAATAACCTTATGAAAAAGGAGATAATATTAATCTTGCATGACCTGTTCTTGATGAAGCCATGCCAGATTTTGGGTTTGGGTTGTTTGTTTTTTTTTTTTGGTAATATCGCTTCCCTTTCTAAATGCTCATTAATCATCTCTTGAATGAGATGATTCTAATTTTTTTCCAGAAGTTGGTGTCAAAATCAGTGCTCTATACCTTGAAGACTCTCTCTTCTCTTCTCTTCTTGAAAACTGAGACAAAATTTGTTCCTTTTGCAGCACTGTGTTAAGCACTTACATTCATCCTCTGGTAGCTTCCTTTGCTTCCATCTTCTGCATATATTTTGCACTCAGTCAGTCAGTAAGCATTTATTAAGCACCTGCTCTACACCAGGCACTGCACTAAAGTCTGTAAGCACATAAAGAAGTAAAAGCAGTCCCTGTATTCAAGGGTCTCACAATCTAATTGGGAAGACAACAAGCAAGCGCATATAGAGGGCGAGCAGGAAATCATTGAGAGGGATACTAGACATCAAGAACGAAGGCTTCCGGTCCAAGATGGAATTGTAGTTGGTACTGAAAGGAAGCCAGGAGGCAGAGGGGAGCAGGGAGTGCACTCTAGGCATGAGGGACAGAACCCACCAACTAGCCTAGGCTGGTAGTTATTGACGCTCTCCCAGTCTCTTTTTTGATATTAACATGGTCCAAGAGTTTTCAATGTCAGACTGAGAAGCTGTTTATCCTCAAGGCAACAGAGAGTCATTTCAGATTTGAGAGTGTGGAGTAGCATGATCAGGTCTGCATTTTAGGAATGTCTGGCAGCTTTGGAGATGACAGATTGGAGAGGGAGAGACACTAAAAACAGGAAGGCCAATTAGGAGGCTACTGCAATAACTCAAGCAAGATGAACTATGGCAGCAGCCTTGTAAGTGAAGGGAAGGGGATGGACGCAAGTGAGATGTGGTGGTGGTAGAAGAGACTTGGCAATTAACTGGATACAGAAGCAAAGGGGAAAGAGAGAGACCAGTATGATTCTGAAGTTGTCTGGCTGACTGGAAGGATAATGGTACCTCCAAAAGAAAAAAAATGAAGTCTGGAGGAAGGATAGATGTAGGGCTGAAGAAAATGAATTCAATTTTGGACATGCTGAGTTTGAAATACTGATGGGACATAAAGGTGGAGATATCCATCATGCAGCTGAAAATGAAGGATTATAATTCAGAACACAGATTAGGGTTCAATATACATATTTAAGAGCCATTTGTGTAAAGACAATAATTGAGCCCTTTGGAAATTGATGAAATCAGCAAGAGACACAATATATAGAGAGAGGAGAAGATGGCCCATGGGCAGCTAGATGGCGCAGTGGATAGAGCATCAGCCCTGGAGTCAGGAGGACCTGAGTTCAAATCCTGCCTCAGACACATTAGAACTCACTAGCTGTGTGATTTTGGGCAAGTCACTTAACCCCAATTGCCTCACCCCCCCCCCCAAAAAAAAAGATAAATAAAAAAAAAGGTGGCCCAGGATAGGAAAAGGATAATGATTCAGCAATGGAGAGAGAAGGCCTGAAAACATCAGTATGGTTATAACTATTTAATTAACAGATTCTGACTTGGTCATAGTCCTTAGAATATTAAAACATGTCCTTCTTAAGTATATTTAATCTTCATATGACATTTAAAAAGACAAACTATGAGTAACAGAGAGCTGGCCTCCAAGTCAGGAAGACATGGGTTCAAGACTTGCCTGTGACATACTAGCTGTGTGATTCTGGGCAATTCACTTAACCCAGGAAATTCCTTAAGAATATAAATTGTAGATCAGTTGCTAATCTAAATGGCGTACGGTTTCCTCACCAAGAATTCTCTATACCAATGACCTTACAGGTCTAGACCAAAAAAAATAGTTTAAAAAACATGTCTGTCTTAGTTCATATAATAACAATTCTAATGGAGAAGTCTTAATTTAGATGAGGAAGGGAGAAAGCATTTACACAGTGTGTACTATGTGCAAGGCACTGTGCTAAGTGCTTTACAAATCTCATCTCATTTGATTTTCACAACAATCTTTCGAGGTAGATGCTGTCATCCCCATTTTATAGCTGAAGAAACTAAGGCAAACAGAAGTTAAGTGACTTGCCCAGGGTCATACAGCTAGTAAGCGTCACATCTGAACTTATCCATTGCACTACATAGCGATGTCAGAAGGTAAACACTGAAACTGGGCTAAAAATTTTAGTAAACTAAAACCACCTCATCCCCCCAACTTTGTTAGATGAAACTAGAAAGGATTATTAACCAATTTATGACTTACAATTATGTACACTTCAGTTCTAAAAGTTAAGTTTTTCTTTGGCTAAGAGGTTGTGTCTTGATAACAGCAGCCATTAACAAATGACATTTGCTGGAATTTTACAGGTCTTAAATCTTACAATGAGAAGCCAATACTTTTTTGGATCTTGGGATAACAAAAACAAGCTTTTATATCTGCAGTGTAAGGAGAAAGATTATTCACGATTTAGTAAATTGTTATCCCCTGCTAGGGTGGACACTGGCCAGCTTCAGTCCTCAGCTACACTTATGATATTCAATACATTAAACAAGCACATTATATGCAATAAATGCACACAAATATAAGGACCCCTACATAATTAATTTAGTGATCTCTATATTTAAATTGTATCTTAACATAGCATAAGGTATCTTACCTTGTTGTTAAACAAACAAAAAAAAGAGAATGACAACTTACGTTCGATTAGTTTCTGAATGATCTCATGTCTCTGTTCTTGTTTACGATTATACCGTAGGAAAATGCAAAGAGTTCGAGATGCTGCCTTTTGTACTGGTAAGACATTCTTTAAGAAACAAGGAAAGGAAGTAGACACAAGTCTAATATTAATCAGTACACAGAGAATCTGAACTTATCAACTAGTCATCCTCAGCAGCTGATCCAAGTCACAAATATGCCTCTTGACCTCCCTCCATAGAGCCTTCGGTGAATCAGAGATTATTATCATAACCCAGGAAACTAAGCCTAAAGTGAACTGGCAATATTTCACATTTATGGAATATTAGCTTTCAGGTACTTCATTCATCTACTCTAATCTCTCTATTTTTCAGATGAGGAAATTAAAATCTAGCCAGTTAAGTAAACTCATCATGGTTACTAAGGTGGTAGAATTGGAATAATTATCCAACTCTCATAATTCCTGGTGGAGTGTTTTTCAAAAAACATGATTAAAATAAAAAGTGTAAATCTTTCCAAACCAATGAAGATTTATATCTTCTGACAGAGTTACTGTACAGAACACTTCAAGTAGTTTCACATAATTACAAATGCAAAATTGCTAGTGGTAAAATTTTTTAAAAATCTATTTTACTTGTTGGTAAGGTATTCAACAATTAAAGTCACCTGGGAAAAACTCTGTTACATTTACAAAGTTGAAGTTGCCTAAAGAATTTAAAAGGGTACTGGTATCATAAGATGAAATACAAAACAACTATAAATTAGTATCGTAAAATTATCTGTTAAGTTTCACAAAGCAACTGTTTAAAATTCTTATTTTATTATTTGAAAAATATAATCATGACCCCTAAGGCCAATCTCCCAATTTAAATAACACAACAGTTCATTATAAAAGCTTCAGTCATGCATAACATGCATAACCTCTCAAAAGGACTCAATTTTTACTTTACTAAGGCAGTACCACCTGTCACTAAATACTTCCACCCACTTTCATTTTGCACAAGTCAGTTCCATTCTGTTATATTCTGTTCCATATGTTGTTTTAAACTTATTGAAGGCAAGAGGAGGATATTCACCATGGTTTAGAAAAGCAAATTTAGAAAATACATATTGATGAAAATGCTATTAGGTTTTTAAAACACTTTAAACTAGAATAAAAATAATAATCTTCATCTTTGTCTCTCTTTTATTTCACCATGTGTAATAAAACAGAGTTAAAAGTTAAATAAACTAACTACATGTACAAACTTAAACAACTTAAGTTCTACATACAGTATGAAATGAAAAGGGTAGGCAGCTCTACCTTTGTATCCAATCTATCCTGGAGGAAGAGGAATAGAATAAAAGACCCTGTTACATCCACCTTTGAACCTAATAATAAGGTTCTCCTTAGGAGATGGACTAGAATTTTTAGCATAAGCATTATATATTTTGCAGCTAGTTTTGTGGCATTGTAAAAAAAAGAACGACTAGAAACAGACGGTCCAGGATGAAGAAGCAGAAAGGACACCTCAGAGGAGGAGGCATGACTGAGATGAGGATATTTTCCTCAAGCCGTATAACTCTAAAACACCATTGCAAAAGACACTGTTGCTAACTAAGATCATCAGGTTAGTAGCTGCAGCTGACTCCTGGACAACTCCACCAGAGATTTAGGCCAAACACATGACAGTAGCTTAAAAGCGTGTTTCAAGTTTTTATTCTTTCCTCCAGCAAAAGCATATGTCTAACTGAATGGGGGAGAAGATAGTGAAGAAGCACAGAGAAATTTAGGTAATAAAATAGGATCGAGGACATCTGGGGCATGAGAAGGTTATTTCAATCTGAGCTCAAAGAGAACTGAGCTGCACATGATTTTGATTGTGCCAACAACTTTGAAAGTTTCAAAATAAGAGTGAAAAAAGATAAAGAAAATGATCACAGGGCTCACATTTGTTATCATGATTGTGAACATTCTGTGTAAAAATCGATAATAAATCTGATCACTTGATATGATATGAGGCAAGCAGGCATATTTTTGCAGTATCTTTTCGTGAGTTCTCCATTTTAAGGAGCCTGCTGCTCGCTGTTCTGCTGCTGTCAGAGCTGGAATCAAGTCAGGTACAGCCAATAACTGAAAGAAAAGAGATCCACAGATTTATGGTGATATGTCAACTGCATTGTTCAAAAAAGTCAGTCAGTGCACAACTGCATCAAGTAAAAAAACCCAAACCATTAATTTTGCTCACTTCAAACTTTAGAAGAAAACCTAGTTACCAAAGAATAATCATCTATTTGTCCAGAGCCAGATCCTAGAGTAAATCACAACTTAAAGAACGTGGATCCCAAGTTATTAAATAAAGTTTTCACTCTACTTTCCTTTGTAAATCCATCTCAATAACAACACACCTTAATGACAATAAGTTTTAATTACTATGAGAGATCTCACTATAAATTGTATCAGCAAGTATCACCTTCTAAATATAAAGCTGTCAGTCTCACCATTCCAGTTCTTAAAGAATTATTCAAAAAGATGGAAAGATGGAATTCTATGGACACAGATTTCAAGAATAATAACTAAGAATTCAATTCAACAGGTATTCAATTACACTTCAATAATGAGGAAAATCAGAATATTCAGAAACTTATATCAGTTAAAGACTAATTAATTACCTTGCTTTCTTGAACACTGCTTTCACCACCAGTAGTCAAAAGTTCTAGAGTTTCTGGAAGATGATCTACAAGTGCATCTAAGACCTTTTAAGAGACATAATGGAATTATAACAATACTCTCATATTAATATTTTTCTACCTAATTCAACCAACTATTTTAACAGCCCATTCCCTACACAGAAACAATGTTGTTTACTAACCAAAATTCTTGGATTCTGTTTTTAACTTTGCCACCTTCTTGTGAGGCTGCACAAACATCACTTGACTTCTCTGCTTTGGCTAACTGAACTGTGAAAAGGGTATGAAAAGTGTAACTCCTCTTATGAGGCTATTGTGAAGATAAATTAATATCTGTGCTTAGCAAGCATTTCTTTTTAATTTAAAGCCCATTCCTAATTGGATTAAACACTAAAATTCCAAAATTTGGAACTGTGATATTCCATCTTGCCAAACATGCTCACAGTCACCCCAAACTTGTCAGTCTTTCTCATTTGGGTAAAAGTCTCAATGTCAAGTATTGATAAATTGAGTCATAAAACCTTTGTAGACCAGTAGTCATTTAGAAAAATAAAGTTTAATTAAAAAGAGCCTAAAAATGAAATCACCAAAGGCATTTGCATCTTCCTCTCACTTTCCTTTCCCTACAGAGACCAAGAAGACTTCTGGGACTATTCACTGATTGTCAAGATTTGGGTTAGTAGCCTGAAAGAATCTGTATACCACCCAGGGAACAGAATATTTTGATTTAACATAAAGAAGCAAAACAAAAAAATATAAATTACCTCCAGTGATTCATCCTGTAATAGTGCAATTAGTTCTTTATATATTAAATATACTCCAGAACTAAGAAGCTTAGAAACCTGTTATCAATAAAGAAAAATTTTAGACTGCAGGAAACACAAAGCTTATAATCACATAAAAATAATTATATCACTCTCTATTATCTATGCTAAATGATATTTTAACAATTAATATAGAAGTGTGTTTTTAGTCACAAAAGTAAGTTTTCTATAATGGAAATTGGGTGATTAATTTTGCAGACATAACTGCAACATGATCGTCTTAAAGTTTAACCTACAATCCTGAGCACTGAGAAAACATTTTAATCCACTCATTAGATCAGAATATACTGTCACTATATATTGTCAGTATATGGTAGGAAAATTGGAGGTGGAGGAAGTATGAACATGCAGATACAGCCAACTGATGCTAATAAGGCATTGGGAGTCTCACACTTGAGTCTCAAAGTCACTTTAGGGTCCTAGGTTGCTCTGTAATACTTTCTCTATAGTGTATCAAAATGACAATAACACTGAGTAAATTCCTCAGTGTTCTCTGGCATTAGCTACAGCAACAAGTGATTGGTTAGAAAGGCTATTTATTCTACTCCCAAACAGCTTGTATTTCCTGAAGTCTTTCTTAACTACTCAAGCTAGATGTGATTTCCTCCTCATCTGAATATACTATAGCACTCTATATCACTCTTAGGGCATTTATCTAGAAATAATCTCCATCCTTCTCTGAATTATAGTACATTGCACAACTCTGGGAATTTATCACATACTGTTGTGCATTACAGACCCAATTAGAACTGTTCCAAAAGATGATAAGGCCTACAGCAGCCCTAAAGCGGGAAAACTCTAAGCCCCACCCAAAAGATTTTGATCAGTGTGAAAGGGGACAGTTTAGACTTAACAAGTTCTATATTCTACTGGTAAATAGAACAGCCTTCCTTTTTTGAAGTCAGATTGGTCTCAAAGTTTGCAGTAGGTAAGTTTACTGATATCCACTCCATTTAAGACCTATACTCATTCATTCTGATCCCCAATTAGTATATAAGACATAGACATGGTATTTCTCCTCAACAACTTAATTCAAAAAAACATTTATTAACCACTGCTTAATATAAGGCACTGCTAGTTACTGGACATCAATACAAAAGGCACTATATATAAGGCACTGATAGTAACTGGACATCAGTACAAAAGGACAAAACCAAGGACAAAAACAAAAATCCCTGAAATCTAGGAACTTTCATTATACTTGGGAAAGATACAACATGTATACAAATAATAATATAAGATAATTAGAGGAGGGAAAGGACTAACAATTGATAACTTCACAGAGGAGATGCTATCTAAGCTAAGTCTTGAAAGGAGACAAGGATTCTAAGAGGTACTGAAAAGAAAGGCCTACATTCTAGGCATGGATAATAGCCTGCATATATGCAGATGACGGAGATGCAATGCCTACTTCAAGTTATGCCTAGTTGTCTAGTTTGGTTAAAATGTACATTATACTGCCCCTCATAATTTTAAAATGCAGAATGTTTTGGCCAATACAAATGAAAAGGGAAGAGATTTAACAATTTCAATATTCCGATAACAAGAGATTTCATGGTAGCCAACTCACAGGACAAAATATATAAACTGTTATATATAGTCTTATCTTATAGTAAGAAACTAAGACATACCAAAAGACTGTAAACTCAAAAAAATTAACATTAATGATAATTTAAAGTAATATAAGATAACAATATAAGTGTAATAATAAAAATGTAAAACAAATACCTACTCAATATTTTTAAATGAAGAGATAAACTACAAGAGTAAAAACCTTCAGAACCACAATTTTCAACAAATTAGACAGATTCACCCTAATATAATCCAGTTCGTTTAAATTAATTAAATTAAAAAATTAAATGATGTTCATCTCAACTTTATATTTGTTCTCAGTTTGGCTAGCCCAGAATCTATAATTTATGGATATATTATATTGCACGTGATGTGTTTAAATCACACATTTTTACTGGTATTCGCAAGAAGTGAAGCACAAAACTGCAGTGTTGTATAGTGTGAAGACTAACTGGCCTTGAAGTCAGGAGGACCTGGGTTCACATCCTGCCTTTGACACATACTGTCCGTGTGAGCTCACAAAGTCCCTGATCCTCTCAGTGCTCTGGGAATAGGAATTGCAGACAGAGCCAACCTGCCTCAGGAGAGGAAGCTTCCTCATTTGGGAGTTCCATTTACCAATGAAATCACAAGTCCTCTTAATATATTAGCAGAAGGCTGCAGGTGAGGTGGATAGGCCACTGGCCTTAGAGGTAGGAAGACTTGGGATCAAGTCCCACTTCCGGTACATCCTGGTTGTAATGATTTCCAGAAGTTCAGTGCCCTTGGCAACTCATTAATACTGAATGCTGAATGAATAATGAATAATGAATGCTGAAGAGAAGGTAATGATCTGCCTTGGAAGAGGAGGATCCTTACCAGGGGCTCCCTACAATGACGTAATTATAGGTCTAGTAAAAAAACAACAACAACAAAAACTGATATTAACAGATACTGTATGAGCATACTCAAAATAAAGATACAATAATGAGCCACTTGGTCCAGTATTTAGGAATTGAACATGAAAGAAGTATAGAAAGTAGCCTAGACACGCTAGTTTAAGATACACCTTGGGAAAGGAGTATGGGGAAGTGTATAAGTGGTCAGGCTCGGAGTAAGGAGGACCTGGCTTCAAATCCTGCCTCGGCTACAGAAGTTGTCAGAAGACAGGGAAGTCATTTTAACCCTGGACCTCTGGCAACTCTTGAACACAATAAGGTAAAGTCTGATGCCTTTTTGCATTTCTGGAGAGATTTTACAAAGGAGCTTGTGCCAATGAAATCACAGATCAGGATTCAAAATAAAAATAAGGCAAAAAGCACAATTCTCATAAAATCAGGTATTAATCTGTGTACGATCTGCATCAAGGTAAAATTATGGGAAATCCTTAGACTTACTTCATAGAAGCAAATAGCAATAGTGTGTCTGACTGGCACTTCAGGATCATGACAAAGGCAGAAGAATGTAGAATAAAGTTCCATATGAAAGTTCTTAGGATCCACAAAAACAATCATGGCCTGTTGGAAAACAGTAAAAAGGGACGGGGCATATCAAAACTTAATGTAAACTTAGTTATAATGGTTTTTAGTTGGAAATGATATCTACACAGCCATCACTTGTTTAGAATTATAGTAAGAGAGCAACAATAGAGAATTTTTTTTTTCTGTATACTCAGAGAAAGCCAAGGGTAACATGTAAACTATGGCAATAAGTTTTTTAATAGTATATGTATAGATTTTTTTGTAGCAGTCATTAAAGTGTATATTTCTTTTGGATGGGAAATAAATAACTTACTGGAAAGTTGTAAGCACAGTTCTTTCTCACTGACGCATATCTCTTTTCCTGCTCTTGATTTGGGGGTGGAACCTGATTATCATTATGCCCATTTTCCTGTTGTAAACCCAATGTGCAGAGTTTCTTATAAAACTCCAAGAATCTCAAGTGCTGATCTGGAGTCAAAATTCCTGAAACAAAAACAGGAATACTGTTTAACTTTTTAATTAAAAATGAGAAAAAGTAAAAAAAAAATCAGAACACAAAACAAATTTATAATAAAATAATTAAAGTAGTGGTTGTAAAAAGTTAAATAGAAAAATTCGCATGCTAAAAAAATTAGTCACTAAAGAGACCTAAAAGATCATGTAAGGGGCACAAGCCCCTTAATGATAGAAAATATGTCTATAATTGTTATATCACATAGAATAAAAAGATAACTAATAAAATACCAATATTAGTAGTACTAATCCTATAATCTGGGAGAGGGAGAGAGAGGAAGGGAGCATTGGAAGGATGAGGGGAGGGAGAGAGGCAAAGAGAGAGAGATTGAGCACTTACTCTGCCAAGCATTATACTTAACTCTGGATACAAATACAAGCAAGACAGTACTTGACCTTAAGGAACTTAAATATTGCTATGATACTATATAAAAATATTCCAACAACTTAAGCAAAAAATAAATGCATATCATCAAGCTTTGTTTAAAGACAGACTGAAGTGTATCAAAGCCAAATTCATTAAACAATAAAATCACTTTAAAGAGCAGTCTCTCCTAATTCCTCCATCTTTTATTTCCATAGTTGATGGACATAATACTATCATCCAACGTCCATGTTACAAGAGAAGCAGTGGGGTTCAGCAAGAAAAAGCAGGGTACTTGAAGTCCTGAGGCCTAGGTACAAGTCTTCACTTTGCTACATACTTTAGAAGCTGTGCATTTTAGTATCCCTGTTTTATAGATTAGGGTCAGCAAGGTGAAATAATAATCTTATAAAACAGGGATACAAAAACCCATCCTTCCTACCTCACAGGGTTGTTGGGAGAATCAAATAAGATGATACATACAAAATGCTTCAAATTGTAAAGTACTATGTAAATGTGGGCCATTATTCTTAGTCTTGCTTTTCTCATTAGATGGAGTTCAGATGGAAAACATCTTGGGACAAATTGGTATCCTGCTATTATTCTAATAAGGTCAGGGAAGGTGTGGGGTAATGGAAGGGGAAATTACAGACTAACAATCCTAAATACAATGTCTAAATGGAGAAGACATGAGAAAAAAGTAAAACTTTATTCTACTTTAAAATTCTTGTGATTATGTCATCATACCATACAATCCGTGGCATAGTTTCCCTAAATGTAAAGATAAAGAAAGAAGAATCGTTTCATCTGCTTTGAAAGATTTTTCGCAAAATGATTTTACTAAAGGAAGTATAGTTTGACTTCTGTCATCTGGAAAAAAAGAAACAAAATAAATGCTTTAAATAGGATTACTTATTTCATACATGTTGAAAATATATATAAGTACAAGATCCATGAAGCAAACACATTATTTTATCATCCCAGAAGTCAGAAGAATTTTCAAAATTTATATACTCTCTACTTCTAGGTACAATTAACTTCAACCACTGCAGATATGCAATGATGCTCCATTTCAAAGACAATCCAAACAGGAGATTTTACAACTATAAATTACAATAATAAAAATACCTATTTTTTTGAAAAAAATCTGAGGGGCTATAGAGACATATAAGACATTTCCCTATCCTCCATGACCTTATGATCTTTTGGGAAAGAAAATATATAAATTCATGAAAAAATATAATTGAGTAAATGTCATATTTTCCATGCAGCCTTACTGGATTTTTCCATTTGCTAAAGAACTTTCTCTCCTTGGGTTATAAATAATGTTTTGTTCTCTATGTGTCTTATCATGTATTATTTTGTATTCTAGTTATTTGCATAAAACCCCCATTAGACAATATGTTTTAAATGCATCTTATCTAAACTATGCATTGACTCCAGGACTGAGCAGTACTCTTTTCAGCTTAGACACATATATCTCCAATCTGCTTTCTCCTTGATATGTCTTGCCTAGAGAAGGTCTAGGTATTCATAAGTATTACATGCATCCATTGATTCAATATGACTTCTGGATTCAAGATCAAAACTTTAAGTCTTTAACGTAAGTTTAATATTAGTCTTCCTTTATATACAATAAAAATTTACACTTACCAAAGTCAAACGACATCTTGTTATCATTGATGAAAGTTTCTATGAGTTAAAAGTAGCTGTTTAATATTTTTTTCAGTGGAGCTAAATAATTTGATGCCATCCATGGACATCAACTGATCATAATGATGTTTTGATACATCTCTTTTATTTCAAAGTTACATTCAAGAGTAATGAAGCTGGATTTCAGGCTAGACAGAATCATGATATCTCCCTGAAGAGGACACATTTTATATCAGTAATTCTTGACACTATGGTATTGGTTGCATGTTTTCAATCCAGAGTGTCATAGAAGTCTTAGTTCAGTTTAAGGTCTGTTTTAAATACTTTTGAGACACTTCACGGAGAACAGTTTTCCATATGGGTATCAAAAACTCCATTGTTCTTACTACACTTGCATCTATTTTGTATATTTACAGTATGAGACATTATAAGTTAGAATTGACATAAATGCTTGCAATAATAAAGGCAATACAAGTGTCTCAGTAATCACCAAATCAATAAGGAATTGTTCTTGGGGTTTTTAGCACATTTTTTTTTTTGCACCTGACACAATACAATTTTTTTCAAAATGTTATTAAATTTTTTGAGTAATATAAGATGTGAATGCTTGGTACATAAAATACATAAACAAACTGGCATATTTGGAGGGGTCACTGATATTCTCATCTTTGGGTAATCAATATGTAATGTCTTATGTTAAGAGAGATGAGATCAGGCTTGTATCACAGAGGAAGTTGGTAAAGTACTTTTCTAAGTCATTTGTACACCACTGTGAAGCATTTGATCCAAGAAGCATGGATCTTATCTACACCTGCTGCTTTCTAGTTTTGCAAAGAAGAGTTTCAGTTACCTTCCTGACATAAATGTTCTGTCATTAATCATGCTAATAATACACAAGCTTTCTGTTTTACCTTTGACTCAACTTCTTCCAACCACATAAACAACCAGAAATTGTCCACATCCTCCTCCTTTGGGGAAAGGGAAAGAGGAGCAAGGGAGAATCTCCTTCTCCTCTCCTTTCTTTGCTTTTCAAGGCTCTGCAGCAGTTTTGAACTGATGTTGAGTTGTTTGTTTCATTCTTTGCGTTGCTTTCAAAACGTCAACCTTTTCAGTTTTTCTTTTTAACTATTTATTAAAGAGTATAAGGAATTTCTGATTTACTATTGTAGTCTGTATTCCATTTTACATTCTCTTTTCTTTGCCTTTAACAGGGTGATATATTGCTTAAGTTTTCTGCTAAATATTGCTAGCTAAGTATTGACATAATTTTCCAATGTCTAATGCCTTCCCTCAAGTCTTCCGAAGTTTTTCTTTTTTAATTTGAAAAATTCTGAACTTAAAAACATGAAATAAAATTATAATTTCCATTAACAAAATAAAACAGAAAAGGATCATTTCACATGAAACCACAAATCTCTATTAAAACAGCTTGCTTTCCTTTTAAGAATATAATTCAGTTAGGGGCAGCTAGGTGGTGCAGTGAATAAAGCATTGGCCCTAGAGTCAGGAGGACCTGAGTTCAAATCGGATCTCAGACACATAACACTTACTAGCTGTGCCCTGGGCAAATCACTTAACCCCGTTGCCTATCCAAAAAAAAAAAGAATATAATTCAGCATTTAACTTTCAAAGCCATCCTGTTCGCATTTCCTTCTCATTTTACTTCAGTTCTCTTTTGTGAATTTAAAAACAATGCGTCAAAGATCCTCCTTTCTTCTTCTTGACAAACCTGCTACTAACCCTCCTCTTCAACAGTTTTCTCAAGTTACTTCTGACATAATTATATATGATGTCTATCCCTAGGAGTATTCCTAGATATCTCCGGTTTTTCTCTTATGCTCCTTACCATGAACTATTGCACACAGGTCTTAAAATGTTTTTATGCTCTGTCAAATATCAAGGAAGATCATTATAGCATCTATAGCCTATAATTCAATCTATAATTCTATAGATGAGACTATAGCATATATCAGTTTTTAAAAAATTATTCTGCTTTGGTACAGGTGGTTTATTGGTTGGATTCATGTCATCAAACTCAGAACTTTTTGAAATTCCTTTTTCACAAGTGTTCATTTTCTCAAAATCATTTGAGACTTCAGCATCACTTTTGTCATCCATTATCAATCAGGTAGCAATTCTGAAATTTAAGTATATATTTTCAATGTTTTCAAATTCTTCAGCTTTTTCTCTTCAGATTTGAGTAACTCCTCAAGTTCACTCATTTCTATTTCATCTATGGGGGCAAAGTGATTTCTTAACACTGAACTGCACTTATGTGCAATATATTCTACATAACACAGAGCTGAGGATAAACTGACAAGAAGTACGAAGTCTTTGTCTAACACTGATAAAAATCTGTTTCTGATTTTGTTTCAGCACGCGACAGGAGCCTTGAAATCTTCAGTCCAATTCAGGTGTACTCGTGGTCTGCCTAATTTAGAGGTCACTATCTGCAACAAAGCATTTGCAGCAGAGAGGATATTGGTATTTCTGATTTGTTCTAATGCATCTTGCCTTCTTGTGATACCAGAACTCTGAGTAGGGCCATGTGCTCTGCTGTCCTCTGGGTCAAGCTGATCATCAGAATGGTTTCAAATAGGATCAGCCTATATCCCCATAGTAACTTAATTATTTTTTAGATTTAGAGAAGCAGCTGAATATGACTGGTTGGAGGGCACGGAGTGGGCAATGTGTGTGTGAGTCCAATCAGTGGTAAGCTAGAGCCGAATTTTGGGGTTCCTGCCAGGCTTTTACCAAAACCAGACCAGTCCTTGATATTCCTCAGTCTGGCTGCCTTTCCCTTACTTTGCTGTTGCTCCCACCTTGTGATATGGATGACAGGTTGGGCTCTGACAGGGTTATTGTTATTATTGTTATTGTTACTGATGCACTATATTGCTAACTCTTACGGAGCACTATATCACTCAGATCTTTCAATGATATACTCGTATATAGTCAGTTAATCTGTGCTTTTATATGTCATCACAGAATCTCAGAGTTGAAAGTAACCTTACAGGTCAGCTAATTCAACCTGCATATGAATAGCAATCCCCTCTACAATACTACCCTAAATTTCTCTCTCTTGACCTCTACTGTTGGTTGCCTTTATTATTTTTATTATCTATTATATTATAAACTACATGAGGACAGTGACCATGTAATACATAACTTCTATAACTTCCTCAGAGGGAACACAGTCCTCTGCATGCAGTTAAGTAATTAATATTTACTAAATTAATCTTCATTATTTTCTTACTTTCAGTGTTGTCAAATATTTCCTTGATTTACTCAAGAATACACTTAAAACAAAGTTAATTATATACAAGTTTCCCCAAATTTCCATACCTACTGGTCTTGCCACAATGTCTGAAACTCCTTTGGGTCTGAGAAGCTATGATCTAAATGCAGATGGTATTTAAGAGGGAAACTCTATTACGATACTATTGATCAGTACAGACATTAGGGACAATTAATTTTTTAAAACCAGGAGTCAATCACCTAATGGAATATTACCAGAATGCGAGATAGATCAGGTATATTTTGATAATGGAGAATAATTAGAGTAGGGGAACTTGGACATCCAGAATATCTAAGGGGATGGAAAGGAAGAAAAGACAAGTAAATGAATGAATAAATAAATAAGCATTTTTAAACAATATGTGCAAAGCACTGTGCTAAGTGTTTGGGATACAAATAGAAAAGACAGTCCCTGTTCTCAAAGAGCTCACATTCTAATGAGGGAGACCACACACAGAATTTCCAATTGCAAGTCAGATGAAAAGGTCCCATGGTTATTAGTGTACTAGCAAACTAGATGGTACTGCATACAATTTAATGTCACTTATATTGATAATAATATCCATTTCTGATATTGAACCATTTGATAGCGCCAAAGACTTTGGTAGCAAGAATTTTATTTTTTAAATCTTCAGTAACTGTGGCTGCTGAGGAGTCAGGAGCTCTGGCATCCTCAGAAATAGTTGCCAGGCCCTATCTCCAATGGGACTTGCTTCCTGGGATGATGGCTGTGGGGCCTGACTTGGTAGCAGGACCTGGGGGCTGCTCTGAGGGGCTCTTGGGTATACCTGCCTGACAGGGGCAGTGATTTGGCAGTTAGTATTATTAGTGGCAAGGAAAATACTCCTTTCTCCATGGTGATTGCTCCCTTCAATGATGGCTCTGGAGCCTTGGGTGGTAGCAGGGCCAGTGGTCTTTGGGAGACTGTTATTCCCAAGGTTCTTGGGTCAGGGTGCTAGACTACCTCTATCTTAGTTTGAGGGGAGGGGCAATCAAAATAGTGGCCATGGCAGTGGTTAGACTGGTGGGGAACATGCAGCCTCCAGCCTCTCACTCACAGTGACTTGCTGCTTCAGAGAGGCTGGCCTGCCTGCTCCATAGGTGGCAGTTGGAAGAAGACTGATACAGAAAAGATGAGGTATACTGAAGACAAGTCTCATGTTTTTCACAATTTTGTAAAAATAATCAACTCTGGGGCTGGTCATTTTAGCATTTAATGTAAAGCAAAACATAAGAAACTTTAATCTCCATCTTCCCCATCAGGTTAAAAAATAAGTTTAACTTAACAAAATGAAACAGGAAAAATACAATCACAAAATCCAAGGTATATTCATAGCTAAAGTAGTTAACTTGTTTTATATTGATTACTATCAGCCAGCCCTCCTGCTAATTACAGGCTACTAGGCAATAGTACGTTGTCAAGCATTAGTTATTAACAGACAGTGAAAAACCACTTATTATTTTAAATGAACTGTTATTTTCTATATATCAAATATGGATTCAAATGAAGAAAACAGGTGTTTCCCAGCAGAGAAATACGTTTCTTTAACTACTCTAAAATAAGCTGTTTTGACCTGAGCTGCTTTGACTGTTCTGACCATCATTTTCTCTAAAGCAAGGCAACCTACTATTACTGTAATAATTAGGCACAAAGCTGAGTGAGAACTTTAAAAATAGAAGGAAAACAAGGCAACTTCCTATGTAACTAAAATTTTTACATAAAATTCTTAACTTCAATGCACTATCCTATAGCAGCTATATTTTCACTCTGTAAAATTCAGTCTTACCCCAAATTTGGCTCCTAGGACAATTAAAAAGGTCAAGCATCAACAGGAAAAACATATGTAAGGGTAAGCCAGGAAGGCAATCCCAGTGGGTACTTCAATTCTAGACAGGTATTAATCATATTTTTAAAATATAATTCACTTTTATATTATTGAAATTCAGTAAAGCAGCTGAACAGATGTAGTTAAGTTACAATTGTGTCTAAAACAACCCCTAATATTAAAGTATTCAACCAAATGAAGAGACAGGGGTTGACCTGTGATTTTATTAAAACGGGGGACTCTCAGATGAGAAAACTACTTCTAACGATACAGGTCAGCACCTTCTCTGCAGCTTATACTATTACAGAGCGGCCTAGAACACTAAGAGGTTAAGTGACGTGTCTGGGATCCTAGAGTACACAGCTAGTGAGTGTCAGAGGCAGGACATCAGAAGCCAAGTCTTTCTGGCTTCAGGGTCAGCTCTTTACCCACTGCATCATAGCTGCCTCTAAAATCAAATAAAAGTAATTGTAAATGAGGACAGATTAAGAACTGGAAATAATAAGCCTTCTAAAATTCAGCATTTATTACTTTATCCTCTTTCTATTCCTCAAGTCTCTTTGAGAGCTAGAATGAAGCTGATACTTCATAATGCTTTCAGCACGACAAAGTCCACCTCACGAGAGTGAACTATCCCATTATTACTGATATCTACCATGTTGACCTGCCTATCAATTCTCTTCTCCTAGACTTTTTTTAATTTAAAAAAAGCTACTGGCTTAATATTTATAAGCATAAAATGGCAGCACCTGAAGTACATCTGTGGAAATGAAAAGCTACTTTTCCTTCTAGTATAATATTCTTCTAGTATTCCTGTACGCTTTATCAAATTTAGCTTTGCATACTGTAAAGAGTTAATGCTGTCAACAGGATGACTAGTAGCCCAGGCATCAAGTGCCATTGACAATGGCAGATAGTCACTGTGAAGTCCTGCATCCTGCTGTCAACACCTACAACTTTACAAAATGTGCCACTATTCATGAACAGATGCAATCCCGAGTCAAAAATCATAAGCTTTTCCTTTGAAGACAAGACATGGCCAAGACGATAGAGTGCTGACAACTACAGGCAGCATGGTTTTTAATTCCATAAGCTGAATCTTCCATGTTTTCAGTACATTTACTAGTTTGCGCTGGAATCTGCAAATGAGCACATCTCACTTTCTTTTTTTTACTCTTCCAAGGTGAGATTATGCTTTGACATCATGTCATATGTTTTATGATGTAGGTGACAATAGTGGAACTTACTATGTGCCTAATTAAAATGAAGACACAGAAAGCAGTGTCAAAACAGAACTATACTGAAAACAATTATTTTTCAATTTCCTAAACATTATTTCATTGGCTTCAACCAATGAATCATTACATTTCTATATATCACAATTATTTGCATTTCCATATCCAAGTAACTACTTAACTTCTTCACCGATCATATAAAATATTTACTATATGTTTGTACATGCGTGCTACACACACACACACACACACACACACACACACACACACGAATGACAGTAGTTAACCTATGACAAGTTCCACCAACGCCAACGGAAATAAAGGGCATGCAGCGTAGTAGAAAGACCTTTGGATTTGGAATTAAAAAGTCTGGGTTTTAGTTCTACTCCCACCACTTACTAGGTGTGGCCTTTGGTAAATTACTTAACTTGAGCCTCTGAATCCTCACCTGAAAGTAGGAATAATAAAACTTGTACTATTTATTTCACAGGACTGTTGTGAGACTCACATGAAACACTTGGAAAGACTGCTGTGAAAGGATAATGTATTACCAAAATAAGATGAGGGAGTATTGATGTATTACCCATTTGGAGAGTTAAGAATAATCTAATGTTCAAATTTGTTATTACTTACATCATATAAGGAAAAACAAACAAATATATATATATATATATATATATATATATATATATATATATATATATATTATATATATATATATATATATATATATATATATATATATGTAGATGCACAGAAACGATGTATATGTGCAAACAAAAGAATTTACCTGCATCAAACATTTCAAGCAGATTAACTAAAGTTTCAAATGCTGCAAGCCGTACACTGCTGCTCTCATCTCTAGCTAGCTCTATTAACTCAGGAAGCACGATGCTTTTGGTTAGTTCTGTCCTGCACAACAAGTAAAATAATTAGGGGGTGGAAATCACACCAGCAAATATCTATTAAACACCAATTATGTGTGCAGCATTGTGTCAGACACTGTAAAGGATACAAAGAAATATTAAGATATGGTTTGTACAAGAACTTTCAACTGAATGAAGAAAATAAGATCACATCAATTAAACATCAAAAATAACATCAACTAAAGAGTTCAATAAGCATTCAGATTTTTACAAATAAGTTCCAATTGCCTATGGTTATCTGTAGAGACCTTAACAGCTACAGTATATATTGAACTTTATTATAGACTGGAGGATTTCTTTCATTATAAGAAAACTCCAGAAAAAGATTTGGATTGACTATAGTAACTTGTAAATGGAAGGTGCCAAACAGAATTTCCATATCTAAATGTCAGAGGAGAAATTATTCTCAAAAATCTAAATTACGTTACTAGAAAAAAATTTCTGTCAAAAGAATGACACATGATATCAGAGGCCAAAAAACAGATTGATGCACAACAGAAATAGTTTCAGACTAGGAATGATAATTATAAGCACAAGGGATTCTTATTCATCATCTTAATTTTGGCTTCTGTTTATTCATCATCATCAAATGTCGTTGCTGTGACTATCTTGTGCAATATGAACAGTGTTAAAGGAAAGGTTATGATATGTCTAGGCTCCTTGTTTATAAGATGGCATGAGTCATAATTGTATATAATCCAATGATAGAATCAAAGATATTCAGTGAAAGGTACAGAATACACTGAAAAATTAAAGCTATAACTAAAGCAAGGGTGTGAAACTACATTTACAGGATGGCAAACAATTGCATTTTGAAGGAATATTTCAAGTCATATTAGACATTGGCAGTAGTTTTTTTTTTCTTTTTTCAGGCAATTGGGGTTAGGTGACTTGCCCAGGGTCACACAGCTAGTACGTGTCAAGTGTTTGGTCTGAGGCCGGATTTGAACTCAGGTCCTCCTGACTTCAGGGCCAATGCTCTATCCACTGCACCACCTAGCTTCCCTGGCAGAGGTTTCTTAATTATGGAATAACCTTCCATTTTTTTAAAACTTGAGTAAAGCGTTATAAGGGAAAGTGAGTAGAGAATTTTGATACAAACATGACAGCATACTTGGAAACAGCAGTCTCACAGAGATTTTGTAGACATGTACTCTGTAGCACAATACAGTGGGGAAAACACTGGCTTTGAAGTGAGAAGACCTGAGTTTGAATCCTCGCTCTACTATGTATTACCTAGAAGGCCTCGAACAAATCACTTTACTTTTCAGGCTTTTCAGTTTCTCAATAAGCAATTGAAAAATTCAGGACAGAATTCAAGAGAATTAAGTCAAGGACAATGAACATGGCTGACCCCTTTATGGAAGGGGACGAAAATATAATATGGAGGAAAATTCAGATGATGCAACAAGCCATTCCACTAATAAGGTAGGAGATTTGGTTAGTCAGAGGGGTCTGAGTATGGGTCCGGTTGGGCTCATTTTGGTTCATGATGATCCCATGAGCACTAGGTTTGCATTAGAGACCCTTGGAAAGAGTGGTTCTAGGGGACAGATTACTCCAAAGAGGGTCCAGAAACAAGGCCTTTTTGCCCTATAGAGTATCATAAGTAATTATTCTATACTGGAATTAACCATGGCCCTCTTACAGGTATGACACAGGGCCATACCACATCCACTCTGAATCACAGAGAACACCCAAAATTTGTCCTAGTCAAGAAATCTTTCAAGTTGGGTCAGAAACAAAAAGAAAATAGAGGAAAAAGGCAAATGGCCTTTCACTCCTACTGTCCTTAACTACATAAGAAAGCACTAAAGAAAGGCTTTTGACAACACCAAGACTCTTTTGGCTTTTAGTATCTCTTCAGAATTAGTTCTTTTAGTTTGTTTCCAAGGTGTACTTTTCCCTTCTTTCTTTACAGTTGCAGGTGAGGTATGAGATGAAGAGACTAGTTTAGATCTATTTTTCTGAATGATAAGAGAATTAGCTGTCCTAGGCTAATACCCTTTAAGCCCCCTATACAAAAAGGGAGGAGAATGCCAGGATAGACAGCATAAGCCTGTTTCACAGGGGTTTCACAGGAAAATGTAAAAAATAGGAGTCATTGTGAAGTCCCTAAAACTAAACCATTTCTAACCATAACAGCAAAGCAGGTGAAAATGCCAAAGTTATGTTATAATAATGACCTGTCATAGGCCATGATTCCTTTCTGGGTTCGGTTATTTGGAGTACTAACTAAATGAGGCCATTTTTGAGAAAGCCATGTGGAAAGGTGGTGAGGATACAGAATATCATAATGTGTCACTAATTTCAAATCCTATTCTCAATACATTTTAAATGACTGGTTTTTTGTTTTAGCTTTCAAAATAGCATATACAATAGGCTGGTGGAAAGAACAATTCTCATTATTTCACAAGTAGGAGTCCTTACAATAGCATGATTTCTTGTAGTACAGAGGCAGAAAATAGTTGTAAGACAATGATAGGAAAAAAAGAACATTTTAAAAGCATGCTTACCCTATACCCTGAGCTATGATGTCTAACTGTCGACACATACAAGATCGAACTTCATATTCTACATCTTGGCAGAGGGATTTCACCAGAGGAAGTATTTCTCTTTTAATGCTGAAGGGGAAAACAAACATGTGGATGAAAATATATATTTTTCATAGTGGTGTTCAAAAAAACACATACAGTTGTACAAATGAAATCATTTAAATAGTAGATATGAATAGTATCACCTGCCTATGAACAACACACAAACCGGAATTAATTTTTGTAATGATTAACTTTGTAAATGGCAGCTAAAATTGAAGAAGCAAGGTTGTCAGATTATGATTTCCATCATCCAGATAATCATACCAGCATCTTATTCCTTCCAGTTGATCTGTCTACATTTTCCAGACCATATCATAATTAAAAAAATGCTGTATTACATATTGAAAACCTCTCACAAGCACAAATTGTGCAGAATGGTATAGCTGAGTTATATGAAAAGGATTTATAATGGGAGAATTACTTCATGTCATATCTACCAATTTTAAAAATCCACAATGACGCCATCTCATCTTTAGGAACATAATTATAAGGAGAAAGACTACAATAAGAAAAAGAATATTTTTAAATGGCCATGATATCTGAAAAAAATTAAATACAAGTGTGTCACACGTTTTTTCTCTGATATGTATTACACAAAATGTATATTTTAAAAATGTATCATGCACGGTAAATCTGTAAAATTGAAAACATCCATATCTTTACATATTACAAAATAACAAAAATATATTCTTTTGAGATAATCAATATACATTTTTTATTACTTAACTATTAAAATGATCATCTAAAACTCGTACACAAATACTCACATATGGGCTTCAAATTTGTTGGCCAATTTTCCTAAAAGTTTACAGCTAACTAAACGAGACTGGAGTGTTTGGGAGAGCTGTGCCTTGGAAACAAGTGGATTCAAAATCTACAATGAAAATAAAATTGAAAGAAAATTCACATAATGCTATAAATATTTGGAATTAATTTCAACTGCTCTTTTCAATGGTTTTGATAAATGTTCTATATATTTTCCTTTTTCACCTTCAGATCCACAATAATTAACATCCCAAATTTCAGCTTGTAATGCACACTGGAAAATAACAGAGAAAAGTACTTGTGTTCTTGCCTGATAAGGTAGATACTATATCTAATAAATTATGTAATTAAACTCAATATTTTCTTTTGGTTACTTTAATAAAAAGGTTAAAAAAAGATGAGTCTTCATAGCTATAGAAATTAGCACATTTAAAATTAAGAACCACTTCCAAGAAAAGCCACTTTTCTATGCTTGTATTCAATGGCAAGGAATTTGAATCATGACCATGAAAAAAGCCTGCAATGATCTATGTGTTCTGGGGTACATTTAAAATAAACTTCCAAAAGAAAGGGTAGAATGACTAGGTAATAAGCTTTGAAATTTTTCCTCCATCCAAATTAATTTTATTTGCCCTAAAAGTTGTAAAGACTACAGCTTAAAACCTGTTACAATATAAGCAGTCCTCTGCCAAATGAAGACAGAATAAGGCCCTTGTAAAGCACCATAAAGCTGATGGGACTATATTAAAAACAAATTATTTTTGATAACGTACATCATTTGTAGCAGAAGGAACCTTGGGCTGGGATGGAGATATGTGTTCTAGTACCAGCTCTATTGCTGTGAACTTGGAGAACTCACTGTATTTCGCTGGGCCTCAGCTTCCTCATCTACAGGTCCATTATAGCTACAAAAGTATAGCTGATATTGGTAATGAAAGACTCTAAGAACTATTTGGAAGAGAGAAGTATGAGAATGCCCCCTGCATGTATAATGGCGATTAACACTGATGCAAAATAAACCACAAACACTGTACCATACTGCCTCTTCTAGAATGTTATTAGTGGTTGTCTTTCCATTTAGGAATGTTAATATCACATTCAAATATGCTTATCTAAATGATACCAAAAATCTTCCATATACAGAGAATTACCTGGTTGTTTGGCATCATATGCCTAGGCATCAACATGTTTCACTGAACTATTCACTGTTATCCAGGCATTCTGACATTTTAAAGCAGTCATAAACTAGAGCACTAATAAAGACTGGTTTGATGATAAAGAAAAGCAAAATTGCTCAAATAAAACCTTTCTTCTTTTTCACTGAACTGTGATGAGGAAATATTCCCACTTGTAACTTGGGTTACAATAATTTTCCTATTTGTAAAAATGTTGTTTATGGATTATTTAAAGATTGGAAAAGGAAAAACATTTATTGAAAAATGACAAACACATTTTCTACTTTTCTACTCTATTAAACTACTTAGAGGTAGAAACATTAACAATACTAAGAGAGAAAAAAACCTTACTTCATGTCTTAAGGTTTCTTTGGGCAGAGCTTCTATTATTGATAGAAGAGTTTCCAGCCATGCATTACTGACACCTGTTAAACATACATATACCAAGTTATTCAGCTATCATATTCATCAAATTCACTTCAAGTTGGTATATTAATATTTACAAGAATCTTAATGATAAAAATTAGAAAAATCATGAGTTAGTGTCTTTCTTCTTTTCTGTTCCAAGCAATATTTGAAAAAATATTGCTCGTTTCAAACAAAAATTTTGGGCACTTTTGTCATTTTGTCTTCAAATAAAATTCTCTCTATTTGCTACAAATAATATATAAAACCAGTTTTGTTTTTTAAAGAAGAGAATGCAGGAAATTAACTTATGAGGCAATAACAGGTTTTCAGTTTGTAAAGATACTAGATCTTTATCTACTATATTTGAGGAAAGTAATACTACTTTAAATTATGCTACCATTTGACAGAATGATATCACTAAATGATATTGTAAATAGGCATTTTGGCTACAAACTATTTTGTATAGCCTGTATACAAAGGACAACAGACATTCACAGAAATAATCACCTGACCTGCATCCCTGTGCTCCACATGCTGTAGAATGATATGTAGGAATGAATGGGAGTAAGTTTGAATTGACACTGATTCCTCTTGTAGGATGGTCAAAAATGAAGCCGCAGCAGTTAATTGCATTTCCACCCCTGCAACATGCAGGACTTCCTGTATAACCATAAAGAGTGAAGATTCTGTTTATTAACAGTACAGATCAGAAATAGTTTAAAATACAAATTCAGTAGTGTAAGAATCAGGTATGCCTTTCTGAATCAAAGAAACAAATGTGATCTTTGCTTCCAATCATTACTTTCTTTAAGAAAGCTATCTGCTAACCAACTAATATTCATTTGATCTAACAAGCCTTTCAAAATAAAAGGGTTTGAGGAATTATGATATTATATAGAAATTAAAGTGATATCTTGAATAAAAATGTAAATAAAACATAAATGTTAAAGCACATTAAAGAGTTTGGGTATTTTTTATATAATATAAATACAGTTTTGTTTATCATCTATATAACAGAGAAGCTGTCATCCAGTTTAACATAAAAAAGGCACAACTTACCAGCCAACATACATTTCACCTGTTTTTACATTACAAAAAGAAAGTCTTTATAATTGTGAAATAAAAATGCAAAATGCTAAAACATTGGGAAAGGATTTATATTTTCCTTATAATTAAATGGCAGAGGCATAAATAAGAAAGGTACAAGAAAACATAAAAGTTGCAAGAGTTAGTTATTTCAACTAAACGACCAAAGCATTTTTCTTAATTGTCCTTGTTTTTATTTCAGTAGACATGTTTAAGAAGTGAATGAATGCTCAAAAGTCAAAATCATCATTACATTTATTTTCACATGTTAAAATAAAAATTCCTTCATAGACAATTTGCATAAAAAATAATGGATACATTTTAAAGTTGGATTTATAGAAAAGGTAATATGAGAGGTGCGGTATCCCTGGCTCTACCTAGATAATGTGTTGAATAAAGAACGTAAGAGCTACAATGGATTTTAGAGATCATATAGTACAGACCCATCATTTTACTAATAAGGAAACTGAGGCCCAGGGAGGTGACTTGCCCAAGGTCACACAGATAAAAAGCAACAGAACGAGGATTCAAACCAGTGCTTATTCCACTAACCTAACCTATCCAGTCAAGCAGGCCAGGCATTGTAGGCTGAAGGTCATGGTTACATAGAATCTGAGGAGTGAAGTAGATAAGAATCATTTCCTGGAGAGATGATGGACAGACGAGTGAGATCATGTTGCTCTGACATCTGCTTATTCCCCCATTCCTAATATTTTGGCTTCTTCTTGCAGCTACTCTCCATGACTCTGGAGAGTTTGTGAAAGACTAGAGCTGCAGAAAAACTTTTAAAATTTACTATGTATATTTAGTTATAATAACCAACTGAATTTCACTTTAAAAATTGGTGTCTACAGAAGAGTTTGGACATTTCAGATGGTGCTTTTTATAAAATACTCATTAACATTAGGTTCACAGGGACAACGTATCTTATCAACGTGTCTGTATCTTAACTCATTCACTTTAACTCGTTATCACATGTTCCTGGTCTTTCATCCATACTTTCCACAAATGTCTTCAAGTTGTACCTTGAAACTATGGCCTTTACAATGATTTCTGAGCAAAGTCAAAACACTGAAGATTGGGAAAGGGGGAAGTAGACGGAGGAAATAAATATATAGGCCAACATAAAATCATAAGATCATAGATCCAGAAGTAGAAGGGACCTGGAGATTATTGAGTGCAGTTTCTTCATTTTACATATGACGAAATTGAGGCACAGAGTTTAAGGTACTTACCTATGGTGCCACAGCTAGTAAGTGTGTGATGCAGAATTTGAACCCAGGTCTTCCTAACTATACATCTGACACACTATACACTAGATCATGCTTCTTGAAACTGATGGAAGTATGTATTCACTTCCCTGACCATAACCCCATCGTCCCACCAGGAAACTACTATCTCTTGTTCCTTCAGAATTCACGTAATTATTCCCTTCCCATCCAGATGATTTACCACAGGACCTAGTCTGTGTGAGGCCAATGTTACTGTATTTCCCATGGAACATTTGTTATACAGCTTTACAGACACAGAAATCAAGAATGGTTTGAAAGGAAAATTATGCGAATCTTACACTGCCTATCAAAATGTTTGGTATAGATAAGCAATAAATATTTGTGGATTTTTTAAAAAAGGCTATTGTAAAGATAATCCCTCATTTTAAAGGGAAAAATCAGATTTTCCTACAGTCAGTTCTTAAATTGTGCCTGAAAATAACTGAAGTAGTTTTTAGTACAACTGGGGTTTTTGTTCTTGTTTTCTGGAGTCTGTACCTTTTGTTATATAAGTTCTACCCCCAACTTTCCCAGGAAACTATACTGAGTCTGTGGTGTAGCCTATTCGACCTATATTTCACCTTCTATCGTTTGCTACATTTAAAAAAAAATCCAAATGACTAATCAAACTTTGTGATTGGTTTTCTTCTTTTAGCTATAATAACTAAATTACCCAAGAAACAGATTTAACCTTCTGTTAATGTAAACTGAGTGATAAATTCAGATCTAGTTTCTCAAATTGCCCCACATGCAGATCTGCCAGTGCCCTCTAAAGAGATAAGGAGCTGTGGGAATAATTTTCCGAAACCTTTGTATACTGCATTCCCAGAAAACCAGGCAAGTTACCATGAAAAAAAACAAACAAACCCAAACAAACAAAAACCAAAACTCTTTGGCCATAATAAGTGCTTGGTTTTAAAACAGAAAAACAAAAACAATTTCACTAGGTAGTCATTAAAGTTATTAAAGGTATAGAAGTTCTAGACGAAAGGAACACCCAGAGGGAGTAGGTGCATGATTTAAAGCACAATCTGCAACTAGCCATCTGACTGTAAGTCCCCTTCACTGTTTTCACAGCAAACATTACTTTGGTGCTGCCAATGGTGGACGGATTAAATTAGATATGGCCAATATATAAATACATCACTTACAGATCTCAGAAGACAGAACTTTAAACAGAAAGGATTTTTAAATGCAGTACTAAAATAAGGAGTAATGGCTACAATGTATAGTTTAGTTCATTATAGTCTGCTGTTGCAACTTCCAAGAGATGTAAATCTGTCCCTGTTAGAAGGTAATGAAAAAATTCTTGGGTTTCATACTTATGCAAACTTTATGTAAAAGAAGAAAATCTGAAGCTTTCCAACTTCATATCTTCGTACTGGGTATCTTAGTCTTGATTCGCCTGAGGAAACACTCCCCCACCTAATTTGCTTTAATTTTTGAAAAATCCTCAAGAGTTACCTGGATTTGGATTTGTCTCTTGCTGTGCTGACTTTGTCTGGGGCTGTCCACTGTTAAGAAACCAGCACAGACTAAGAGACTGTATCACTACTAAAAAGCAACTGATTTCTATGCTAACATTCTTTGAAAAATGATGAAAATAAAAGTTCGACACTTACCAGTTAAAAGAACAGCTCCAAATGAGTGTTCTCCTCCACAGAGCCACAAACTCTGGATAAACATATGTGAGATCCACATTCTCTGGACAAATAAGTGTGCCTCCTCATGGAACTCAGAAGACACTGAAAAGTAAATTCTTCTATTGCTTAAGTGCATGCCTTGATGCCTATGTTGAGAACTGAATTGTTCCTTTTACATAAAACTGTGGCTGTATCTCCATTTCAATTCCACAAACATGAAATAGGCCATTTTGTCAAACCAATTTGTGATTTACTGTTCCAAGCAAGTAGAAAAAAAATCCATATTCAAAAAAAGGAAAATGTGTTAATAAGTAACAACTGAACACTGAAGTGGTTAAATTACATTCTGATGTCATTTTCAGTCAGCATGAATAGTCCTTCAGTTCAAGCTAGGAGATTATTTTAAATAATAAATACTATAGATGTCTTATAGAAACACAAACAACTTAAAAACAACCTTTTATTACAATTAGGAACACTTGGGTTTTTGAAATAATAAGGTTGGTAGATAATAGTGAAATAGCTTTAGGTTTGAAATGAAAACCAAATCTCAGACCCCAAGGACTTAGTGAATATGACTCATGGTATAAAAGATTAGTCTCAATGATACCTGAAAAGAGCAAATAAGTACTAAAGTGAAGACTCACCATACATTTCAGTAGCTATAATCCATTATCCATGGGAGCTACGATTCACTAGGGTCAGGATAGTCCTTGTACAAATATAAACATGAATTATCAAGGCCTTAAGAAACCATAATTCCAAGAACAGAATACTATAAATATTTAATATCTGGGTTTTTTGAAGGGTCTAAGTTATACAATTTCACTAACTATTGAAAAATAATATAGAATGTAATTTTCTCACTTTGGAATCATAGTATTTATGAACAGAAGTGATAAAAAAAATAAAATCAGAATATATCACCTAAGGTCCCTTGGAGAAAAGAAAAAGATGGCAGTTCCATTCTCTTCCCTCCCTCCCATTACTGGCCTGCCACCTGCCACATGCATTAAAAAGAACATGGGGAGCAGCTAGGTGGTGCAGTGGACAGAGCACTGGCCCTGAAGTCAGGAGGATCTGGCCTCAGACCAAACACTTGACCCTTACTAACTGTGTGATCTTGGGCAAGTCACTTAACCCCAATTGCCTTAAAAAAAAAAAAGAACATGGAAAATCAAAGAGGAAATTAAATAGAGACAATTAAAAGTTTAGTGTTTATTGAGGTATATGCTTAAATTATCTTTAAATGAATGTTTTGTTAATTATGAAGATTCATGAGGAAGCACTATAGTGCCCCTTATAAGGGCCTAGATCTGCATAACCTAACTAACATTAAAGATGACGCATTATTTTCATTCATTCAACAATTAATTTACCAATCACCTATTTTGTAATCCCAATGTTATGGTTGGTGGTATGGGGCACATGAAAGAAGTAAAAGCCAAAAACTCTGCCCTTGAACTTATACTCTAGTTTTGATTATGAGTCTGGTACTACAACATGCACTAACCCCTTCAGATCACCCATTCCTCCCCATCATAATTCCAAAATGGTGATGGAGAAAACCCAACAGGAGCCTTTTGCCTGAATAAAGATTCAAATCATTGGGTTGTTTTTTTTTTAGCAATGCATACAATTATAAATGAAAAAAGCTTAA